ATATGAATAGTTTAGTTATTTAATAATTATACAATAAAAATATACGCATAGTATTGTTCCATAAATGGATCCTCAAAATTACCATTCATTATTCTTATCAGGACATAACATATTATTATAGAAAATATCTTACCATAATATCTATTTAATTGACATGATTGATATTTGAATTCTTGTTTTAATTTATTTGAATCTCTCCATATTTGTACATATTCTAATGGTAAATAATCTGATGGTAATGGATTATCATTTGGAGTAATTTGTTTAAATAAACAATTATCTCTATTGTTAGATTGAATTTCATTTGAAATTAACTCTGTTATTGGTTTGATTAATTTCACTTTCTTTTCTAATTCATTAAGATAAACTAGTTTGGTATCAATCATTCTTAACATATATTCTATACTATCCATTTGAATATCTAAAATAAGTTGGAATAAAAGAATCTTTCATGAGGATTAAATTTTTAACGTACTTTTATTATCAGTAGTATAATCAGATGTTCATCTGTCTATCAAAAGAAAATTATACTGTATATATATTCACTCTGATCAACTTCGAGATCAACAGGTTGGATTCTGTAAGGATCAGTCGTGCGCAGACCAAATTGTGACACTACGGATCATCGTCGAACAATCAGTTGAGTAGAACTTGTCACTATACATCAACTTCATTGACTATAAGAAGGCGTTTGACAGTGTGGACAAGAGAAGATTATGGAAACTTCTTTGACACTATGGAGTTCCTGAGAAGATTGTCAACATAATCCGGAACTCATACGACGGACTACAGTGCAAAGTCGTGCATGGAGGACAGCTGACAGATGCATTCCAAGTAAGGACCGGAGTCAGACAAGGCTGCCTACTCTCCCCTCCCTCTTCTTTCTGGTAGTTGACTGGATTATGAAGACATCGATATCTAAGGGAAAGCATGCAATTCAATGGACAGGTCGAAATCAATTAGAAGATTTAGACTTCGCAAGTGACCTTGCCCTTCTATCTCATACACACCAACAAATGCAGATGAGGACAACTAGTTTAGCGGCAGTCTCTGCAACAGTAGGCCTCAGTATAAACAGAAAAAATCCAGTTCCTCGAATACAACACAGAGAACACCAATATAATCACACTTGATGAAGAAACTCTGGAAGATGTGGAATCCTTCATGTACCTGGGAAGCATCATCGATGAACGTAGAGGATCGGATACAGACATTAGGGCGAAGATTATCAAGACAAGGACAGTATTCCTATAATTAAAGACTATATGGAACTCAAAACAACTGTCAACCAATTTCAAAGTGAGAATTTTCAATACGAACATAAAGACGGTCCTACCGTACGGAGCTGAAACTTGGAAAACTACTACAACCATCATCAAAAAGGTACAAGTATTTATAATTAGTTGTCTACGCAAGATACTCAACATCCATTGGCCGGATACCATCAGCAACAGCCTTCTGTGGGAGAGGATAAATCAGCTTCCAGCTGAAGAGGAAATTAGAGAAAAGACTTTAAAAGTGTATAGGACATACATTGAGGAAATCACCAAACTGCATCACGAGCCAAGCTCTGAGTTGGTATCCTGAAGGGAAACGGAAAAGACGAAGGCCGAAGAACGCACTACGTCGGGAAATGGAATCAGATACGAAAAAGGATGAATAACAACTAGAAAGGATTGCCCAGGAGAGGGTTCGATGGAGAGTGATGGTTGGCGGCCTATGCTCCTCCAAGCGAGATAACAGGCGAATGTAAGTAAGTAAGTATATTCACTCTGCATGACTACATGGTTGTGAAACATAATCAATGAAGGTAAGAAGCAACGATGCTTAAGCTACTAATCATCAATTTTAGATATCTTTGATGTATATCCCACATATATTCAAACTTTTGAGTTAGTAATACTGAGGTTAGGAGTGCGTTATTAATAAAAATCATAAACTCTTTGATAAAGTGAAAACTTTCATCGACTCAGATCGCTAAGTCATATGCTATGTATGTCTCAGCCACTGCCTAGCCATATATTTAAGTTTGTTTGAATAACAGTAGAAATCGTGATGGCCAAAACCCTGTCGATAGGCGTAGTCTTTCTGATTGAGGCTTATGTTTGGAGACTTTAAGTGATATAGTTGAAAATAGATCACAGTAACTTGTCCATTTTTCTTAAGATATACATTTCCCAATCTTCTACTCTAGAATTATTTTATGCTTCTTACTACTGCAAACTGTGCTCATTGTCAGTGGGATTTTTTTACCACCATTTATATTATTATTACACAGACTGCTATAAATTTAACTGTGTTAATGTTTTATACTTATTTTGATAAGAAATATATCCACTGGTGTTCATTTGTCATATTTATCGCAAGTTGTACTCTATAACAATTTGATCTTAGTTAAAAAAACAGAAAATTAAGAGGCACCATGAAACTTGTTTCATTTTACATCAAGACTGCATTGAGAATAACTTAATAGAAGCAGTATTTTCAATGGTTGAAATCAAGAGTCAACTGAAGCTAGACCACCATGGAAAACCTGGGAGCACTGGACGGCCATTTCGTTCTAGTATGAAACTCCTTAGCAGCGCGCATCCACGATACCGCCACCTGCAAGATTTGAACACAGGGCCTATCGGTCCCGCGCGTGAGCGCTTAACGATTAGACCACCGAGTCGGCATCCAACGGTGTTAATGTCTAACTTCAAATAATCCACGAAATTGAGCGAATCATACACCATTGTCATCAGAGAGTTACTATCTCACAACAGACCCAGCTGAACTCCACTGGTAACGGCTTCTCAGTAGAACTCCAGGAAATGCCTCTTGAATTCAGTCACTAGTGAGCAGATGATTATTATCAGAAGGGGTTTTATGGAGATTTTAGAAATTTCAATAGTTGAAATCATGAGTTAATTGAAGCTAGACCACCATGGAAAAGTAGTATTGTTAAATAAACTACACGAAATACAGTCCAGTAATATGAAATGTATAAAAACAAGATGCAAATAAAGAATGAATCTGAATAATATTGCTTAATACGATGTCATTTGAAGCGAAGTGTACTAGGTTCGAATCCCGGAATAAACGTTAACTCTGGGATGCAGGTATATTCAGATGACTAATGCTTAATAAAACAAAACGCGCGTCGTAGATTCCACTAGTAGCCACCATCCACCTCTGCTTATAATTTTTAATGATTGTTTTATAGATTTTAACCTGAAATTCCACAATTTCTCATACAGCTAACTCCTGTTTTTAGTATGACTGCCTTTAACCCTTTTTCCCATAACGCAATTATGGATTTTCCTTGTTTATGCATTTTTTAATATTAATTACTATATATCCCAAAATTACCGAAAACACAATTGATATTCTAATTCCGTTCTTAAAACTGCACAGAACACTGGGAAAGTATCTCACATCACCCTGTATTATTTATCCTTTAAAACTCCTACGATAATATTCATAAAATACAAAACAATAATATACCGTAAGTAATACATTATGCTATAAACAAAACTAGAAGATTCACGGTACAATTGTAAATAACAGGTTTATAACTTACTAACAGTAATATATGAACGTAAAGAAATGTAACAACTATTAGGGAGTTAAATGGTAGTTTATAAATAGCGAGACAGGAAATATCAAAATAACAAGAACCAATCGTTTATTAAAAACGTCTACGGTCAACCAATATTTAATACTTATGTAATATTCATCGTTTCCAAGCATTTTTCCGCTCTCCTAATGGGTAAGTAATGCATTTAGGAACATAAATTTCATTTGGGAACTTCATTTGAACCACATAAAGCTATCTGCATATTTCCCCACTATGAATACGCCACTGAAGTGCATCCCAACTTACCGGATGAAAAAAAACAAACAAATTAGAGCATGAAGCGAAATCTTCAGTGGAAATTATTCTCTTATATGCAGTATTCACCGACCAAGTGAACGGAAAAATGTGCAAAAATACTTGATACTCTGAACATATTGGATATTGTAAAACGAATAAACTACAAATTTGCCGATGAATATAAAAATAAAAATTGTATATACTGCTTCATGGTGAAGAATAACTTTCAAAGTTTCTCATTTCTACTCCTCATCTCAGTTAAAACAAATGCATCAGTCAATGTGTGTCTCCATTGCTCCGTAAGGTTATGTTATGTCTAATTCACACTGATTACCGACTAAGCATTTCGGGAATTAAGCTTTCAACAAGAGACCTGATGTTCCTGGATTCCATCTCAGGTGGGATCAAGTATGATCACTATCACAGAGGAATCCTAGACTAAGACAAAACAGCTGCAGACATATCTGTGGTATACATGATGGCTCCCAAAACTGTCGCGTTATATCCAGGAACTGAATAAAATTCATAACTTAGCTCATAGAATTACAATACAGTGGTCTACATGCAACAAACTTGTTGAAATATCCAAAAGTCACTAATCTGATTGCCAAGCGGATTGAACTTTTAAAAAGTTCCAAATAGTGAGTTAAGAAAAACTCTTCAGTGTTGTATGATCCTTGCTAATTTCCCGTCTACAATCCATTTCACTTGCTATAAATTAAATTCGTATGCTTCATAACAATAGTAAACTGTTGTTGAGTGGTTTTAAGAAAGATATGTTAAGTTCCAAACGTGATACATTTTGATTTGTGAATAAGTAAGACTTCATTCCAAATATTAGATCTCTGCAACTATGGGATAACGACCAGTACTAAATGATACGAAAACTTCATATGTTCATGGAACACAATAATCTAGGAGATTTCACTAATCAGTTATTTGAATTTTATATTGAATTTAATACGATGTTCATTGCTTACTTTCAAGACTTTCTATCAGTAGCAATAACATTATGTACACTGATGATATAAGAATCTTCGTTTTCTATGAAAAGGAACTATGTGAAGTGATTGAAATGACAAGAAATCAATTAAAGTTCACGAATGTGCTACATTGTTATTAAACAGTTGATACAACTTAACTACTTATATATTAGACAAGTAGTTTAAACTTCTTACAAAAATTATTTTAACATAACTACAACTTTTTATAGTTATACCGACTAACTTATCACTGAATGTTTGAGTACAAGTCGGTTCACCTTCCAAATTTGATAACAAGATAATGAAGAGTACCTAAGTTAATTGATAATTGAATTTTCTTTTTAGTAGCTTCTTTAGTTAAGACATCTTTCAATATAGCAATTGTAGAGAGATTGTCCGATTGGAGATTAGCATAACCTTTTGCATAAACGCATTTCAATTGACTTTTAAGATAAATTGATTTATAGAACAGTTGCGCAGATTCTTCACTATCGTGATTGTCATTTTTATCACCTTGTTTTGTATCCGAATTAATTAATGTGGGCCTTTCAGGGGTTTCAGGTAAGGACATAGATAACCAATTATGCATTTCCGTTAAAGAGAAATTTCCAGTTAGTTGTAAACTGTTCCAATATCTATTTACGACATAAAAATAAGAAAAAAACTCCTTAGGTGTCTCATATTGACAAAATTAGGATCAAATTATGTGTGTACACTAAATTGAATCGATAAACAATATGAATGGCTCATTGGAAAAACTAGGGAGTGTTGAATAGACCGTTTAGCCAAACTTCCCTATATATGTGGATCATTGATACACTAATCGACTGCTCAAAATCGAAACAAGAAATAGAGGGAAGCTCAGACTATATAATCTGTCAGTTAAAGCCTATTTAACTAGTCATCACTACATATTATATCAAATCACATTGTCAAAATATCCTGTTAACAAATAAATTCATGCTTCACTAGTAATATCAACTATTATATGACTGGTAGATGTGTAGTCTCATTGTTTGTTTGGTAATATTCATTTTCGACTTTGGTCAACATTTTAACATTTAACCATAAGTATAAAAATCAGAGATTGAATTCTTGAAAGTGTAAATTCAGTCAGTTGGTCAGTGATTATTTTTCTCTGGAATTTTAAGTCAACATGAAACTTGGAGGGTTAATTCCGTGAATAAGCGAATCCATTCAACCACATCAATCATCCATGTAATACAGTAAACTCACCTTTTTAACGGTTCATCTTCTATATGATGAGTTAAACAATGTAATGATAATGGATGTATTAATAACTTAATACATTTACATGTAACCATATTTGATAAATTTATTTTTGGTACTACATACACAGATACATGACCGTAATGACCTTCAACCGTACGAAATTGAATGTCAAACCGTGTTGTATTCACTTGGCACCGATACGTTGTCAATAATGCATTCCCGTCCTAATCAAAATCAAGTAGAAGAGAATGAATGTGTAGTTAAAAATATAAATCAACATTTTAAGTGATTGGTCAGTGATATTGTGCATGCCAGTTATGCTGACAGATATACGTAGTGTGTAGCATCAGTCGGGAGTGTAATGTATGCGAGCAGAAGGTCGAGAAAATTGAAATGAAGAGAAAGAAACTGAAAGTAATCATGATAACAACAGGAATAAAGGAACAATGAAGCTTGTTAGAGACAATTCGAAGATGTTCAAATGATGTATTTGATGTATAATTTTCACATTTTAGTAAACCACTGTGTGAGTGAACATTGAACAATAAATCGGTCTTCCCCATCTGAGTGTTCATTCACTGCATTTCATGTAGCTGCCAAATAAGAGGCGGAAAGGGTGAGATTCTGTGGATAGTTGGGGTGGTCTGGTGCAGAAACGTGACATCGATAAGAGTGTTCTGTCGGGTTGGCATCGGCTGTAGCAGCCGCCGTTGGCGGAGAGGAGTAAGCTGCCGGTCTCTGGGCGGACATCAAATTTAGATGGCCTTGCAGGTTGACATTGCTACGGAGGTCAAAGCGCCGGCAGACTCGACGTTTCGACGGAGAGTGTGGCACAAGCTGTGGGGAAGGAAGCGGCATAAGGAGCAGAATGTCCGCAAGGATGACTTACGTTTAAAGGGAGGACGAGTGTAGTGCCAGCTATGTTATGTTGATAGATATAGGGAGTATGTAAAACGAAAGTGAAATGCATGTCTACAGAAGATTGGGAGGATTCACCTCAAGAAAACAGAAAATAATCGTGGTAACGACAGAATTGAAAGAATCACGATTCATGTAAACGATAACAGATGGAAGATGTGCAAATTATGTATTTAACATATTGTTTTCATATTTTATGAAAGCACTCTGTAATTTTGTAATAAACAATAAATTAATCTTCCCCGCCTGAGTGTTCGTTCACTTCAATATGGATATTGCACTATACTGAGTGATGGTTCGGATAGTCCTATATATATATATACATAGTCGTTAAGCGATTATTGTTATTGTCTTAGAGAGAGAATCGGTCGTATTTTTCCATGTTTTACCAGTATAACTTATCAAACCATAGTTTGAAATTAAATTAATTCTAAATCTATCAAACATATATTTATATAATCAGTTATCACAGATACTATTTTTTGTTCTAAAGTTATCTATATACTACTATGTTGTTCAAACTGAAATTAAGTAGATTTCAAAATTGACACCTAGTTACTGATATGACGGGATGAAAAGTCAAAATTAGATTGATTTATTGATTATGATTTTTGGTTCAACATTAATTCCATTTTAATTCAATGTGATCATTAGTTAGTAAAGTATTTGTTTCTGTTATCCCGTATGACATTCTATTCTGTATAGCATACGACATCCTTGTATTGAATGAACATGAAATATACTCAGCATGTAACTTGTTATAACAGTAAGTATTATTCATATGTGTGATTTCATCCTACTTATTAATCAAAAAATGGGTTTATGAATCAATATATAAATGAGTGTATTTCCAACTAGTCTGGTCGTGGTTGTTTGTGCTTTTGGCTGCTTGTGGAATATATTTCCCTCTTCCTAACTTGAACTTCTCTCTCTAGTTAGCGGGGCTGAGACGCGTCAGAATAGCTAGCTTATCTGTCATTCTGTCATAGAGTCTTCGTTCGATTCTCAGATTAGGTGAACTCGTAATCTCTTTAAACATAGCATTGCTTTTTATCAGGGTTGTTTTATACGAAATGGAGTTGCTGAGCCCATGTTCGACCCTCAACCTTTATATAGGCTAGGGACCAACAGTGACCCTGGACGGACTATAAGTAAAGTTAGAAAATAATGAACTTATGAATAAAATCACTTCCATATATTAAGTTTTGAATTAAATGAACCACACAAATATGAGTTTCATCGATAGGATTTACAGGACATAAATTATCCCCTGTTTTTTTCTTTAGCTTATCTGTCATTGTATCACAGAGTCTTTGTTCCGTTCTCAGATTAGTTTAACTCATAATCTCTTCAAACATATCAGTTGCATAACCATTAAATTACTGTTTCATATTAATAAAACAAAGACCTTTAGTAATACATTGTAACACTTACATCTTTTGTACATTCACTTGAACTACTTACAGCTGTATTCTCTTCAAGATCGAATAAATCAATTGGACAATTACTTTGTATTAATATATGATCAATTGGTATTTGGGTTTCGATATTTAAACAATATACAGATAGGTCTTTATTTAAATAAAATTTATAATCTAATTCTAATGGTATTAAAATAATTTGTTCTTTTTCAATTTGTTTTTGATTCAATTTCATTAATTGTAATTGATTTTCTAAATTTGAAATTTCTTCACTTTTTTTGATATAAAAAGAAGAAAAAACAAAATTGAACATTGAACAACATTTGTGTGTTCATCATAAACATTGAACAATGAAATTAAGCGAGACTAAAATTGATGAACGAGCCAATCAGAAGCGTTTGAGGGATTTCAAGGTCATGGCGCTGATTTCAGTACCTGATGCCTACATGCGATCGTTTCACAGTGGATTTTGGAGGATATGTGATAACTGAACGGCTATAGAAAATGGGACTATTAAGAAGTTTCTTTATTTGTTATTGTGGTAATCAAATGACTTGTGGACTTTGTGCAGACTACCGTGATGATGTTGTCTTTCGATGTAATATGTGTTGGAGGAAGAAGTATGTTAGTATCTTTTCGCTCGATCCAGATTGAGACAAGACAATTGTTGCAAACTCGATAATAAAAGCACCAGTAACACTGGCTGCAGCCGGGTACTATAATATATACGGATGATTGGAGAGCGTACAGATGCCTACATACACTTGGTTATGTGCAGCGTGTCGTTATCCACAAGTGATATTTTGTGGACCCAATAACCGGAATGCACACAAACAATATTGAAGCTACGTGGTCGAAGCTGAAAAAGTTTTCGTGACCTTATCGTGGTTCGAGAGGCCGACCATTATGAATCCATATGGATGATTTCCTCTACTGCACGCATTATGATTTTAGAATCTATGAACCTCTTTCGAGCCTTGACAAGTTTTTGAACCATGCAAAATAAATGTATCCACTTTAATTCTTTGGTTTTGTATAATATATTTTTACTCTATACTAACTTTTCTGATTGGCTAGTAGTCCTCAAGGTCACTTAAAGTTCGTTCAAAGGTTGTCCATAAGTTATAGTCTCACCACCATCTCCTTTTGAACACATAAGTCAGATTTTTTACGCCTAATAGCAACGGCTTCAGTAAACTTCAGAAGACTGGAGTTTGGCTGCTTACTAATCATCTTGAAAGATTGAAAGTTATGAACTTAATGCTTTATATCATGGAGATGTTTGGTAATTACACTGTTTAGTCTTTCTCTCTCTTGTTCTGAGGCTTTTTGAAACATGTTCAAAGACTCTAAGATATAGCCTCCTTTTTGTTCGCCCAATGTAGCTGTTTTGACGGCGTAGACCAAACATCTCCTTGATACAGGAAACCAGGTTGATAACTTGCAATCTTTCAAGGTGATTAGTAAGCGTTCGAAATCCAGTCTTCCGAAGTTTGCTGAAGCCGTTGCTATCAGGCGTCAAAAATCTGACATGTGTTCAAAAGGAGATGGTCATTAATCTTTCCTTGCCTTGGTGAAAAATATTTCTTCGTTGCATCTTGTAATTTCTTTTTGACTCTGTCTTTCACTTATTACATCATTGAGTGTTATTTAAACTATCTTTCAAGTTAGTAATCTTATTTTATCAACTAAGCTCTATTCACCATATTCCTGTCAATGTTTACTCATTATGTAATCCCTTGTTTCTGGACGTTTGAACTGTTGTCACAATCAATGTTGTGGAATGTTCTTTTATCACATAAGGTATATATTTACAATATTCAGTCTATTGAATTTATTTACACCCTTGCTATACTATACTAATGTAACTTTAACGTAACTTCCAACTAAACTTTTTCATGTAAGTAATTTAAGCCCATTTTGTAATTATGCCTTAAATATCACAGGTTGTAAGCAGTTGACAAGAACCAACGAAATAAAATGAATTCATGCTATTCCGGGTCGTGAATCCTGAATCTGATATAACGCCTCATTATCGTATTGACGTATTGTCTCAGTATACTTAAGAGTCAGAAGAATATTTAATACCATCCGTTATATCAGAAGCCGGTAAAAAAACACACTGGATTACCGAAAGTGACATTGAACAACATGGTTATCATCATCGAATGACCATTATTGACTAGATGTAACAGAAATTAGCTATATAATAGACTTTTTTTATCCATTTGCGAACCAACTCTTGTGATTTTAAAATAAGCACACCCAATTATAAACCCCTTGCAAGTCATTTCTCTAAGTAAAAATATCTACAAAATCTCTATTGCTCTAAACTACGACGGAATACCTTTAATGTCCGAGATGAAAGTGTGGGAATAACAGGAAACACAAAAGGCAACCATCACAGAAACTGGTTACTCACTTTAATTTATCCACTTTTGACATAAATTGAAGTTCCATTACGTCAGGTTGATCGAAGAATGTTTCTTTTCTGATTGGTTGTGTAGTTAAACCAAAAATCAAACCTTGAGCATGAAAATGAAGATTCTTTAATTTGACTACTATAACATTTGCAAGTAGTAGAACCGTAGTACAAGAATAATTTGTAAGGTCATACTTAAATGTTTGGGATACAATTCTCTAGATTGTTACAGTAAAATAGTTCTTTCTTTTGAGGGAATCGATGCACAAAGCTGAACAAACATAAATGCACACTGTTTTACCCTCACTTTAATAAACAATTACATGTTGTTTCGGCAGTAATATAAATTTACTGAACACAGTAACGGAAAAGGAATAAAATTTACTCATATCAAAAGACACTGAAAATGTAATTGATGAGAGCTTATATGCTTATGAACAACATCTTAAGCTTTAGACAAAGATTATTAATTGTGAAAAATAGTTATGCAACTTGACAAGGTAACATTTAAAAATCGAGATGAAATGTAATCAAGTAGGACACGGAGAAAGAAATAAGTAGGTTAAGAGTAAAAGTATAGTTCAGTACAAAAGAAGAAGATAGTGTGATGGATTTGAAGAAATAGGGGGTTAAGACCATGACAGAACAAGGAATTGAATAGGTTCCTTCATTATATGCATAAAAACAAAACATACCAGTATATGTAATGCATAAAAGTTCCGGATAATTTACATCAGAAAATCGACCAGCCATCACGGATGTTAAGTGATAATTCACTTTCTAAAACATGAAAAAAGTAAATGGAACATTAAAGTTCTAAATAAAAAAATACAACTCTTAGTGTAAATACGACATCTACATATTTTTTACTATGGGAGTCAAGGAATATATAGTCTTCAAAGAGGATGAATTCAAAATAACATTCCTGGGTAATTTCCACAGTAATACAAAGACCATTGGATGAATTTTATTACCGAATGCTATTGCTTTGGGACGTATTCGTTTTTATCAATGATCGTAGGCAACTTTCGCTGATTGGTAATATCTAGCTTAAAAAACCGAGGCCTTATGCTTATTGCTTTTAGTCATTTTATATCAAACAAAATTCATTGTGATCTTCACACACTTGAACAATTCATCGATAGAACTTGATATGCGTTGAGAACGAAACAACTTGACAGACATCACTATTCAATGATCAGTAAATGAAACGAAAGGTTGCGCATGATCATGGATTGAACGTATTCGGACATTAACACCGCTGGATGCCGATTAGGGGCTCTATAGATGAAGCGTTCGTGTGGGACCGAAGGTCCGGGGTTCGATTCCCGTGCGTGGGGCCAAGGATGCACACTGCTAGGTATTTCAATACTAGGCCGAAACGGCCATCAAGTGCTTCCAGATTTTCAATGGTATTTTAGCTTGAATCGACTAGTGATGTCAACAGCGAAAATATAGTTTAAAAAGACAGGAATGAAAATAATCATTGGTTAGTTTTTCCTCTGACCTTTACTTTCAACCTTGATTAGTCATTTAGCAACCGATAATTAACTCGAGGTCATTATATTCTGGCTGAATAATTGTCTATCAATAATAACTCTTTTGAATTGTTACAATCGCTTTAGACAATGGTAACATATCACGCCACGAAACTGGGTCTGAATCTCATAGGTCATATTAGCACTCTATTGAGGCTATGGAATCTACAAATATAAATTAGGAAGAACGGTATCTGTTATATCCGAGCGAAGATTAAATCACGAGTAACTCCTGAGACATATTAATTGACTAATATTACCTAGATTGTAAATTTAGAACAACATAGATATAAGTGAACAATATTGTTTTGAATTGGATCCTCATTAGGTTTTACTCTAATGTACAGTAATATTTATATGCATATACGAAATTATTAAACCAGTCAAGGTAGTTTATGAGTCAATGATAACAATGAAAACGATTACATAATAAGTGATTTGAACCTTTATTATTGCTTATCAAAACTAATGCACCTGTTGTCACACCATTAATTTGTACTTTTCACGTTTCACTTATTATGTAATCGTTTTCATTGTTATCGTTGACTTAGAAACTACCTTGATTGGCTTAATGATTTCGTATATGAATATAAATATTATTGTATATTAGAGTAAAGCCTGATGAGAATCTAATCGAAAACAATATTGTTCGCTTATATCTATGTTGTTCTAATATTACTTATATATTCTCATGGTATAATTATTCAATAATTAGATTATGTGAATTTATATTCCTCTTATTATAAGCTTTATTTTGATCTATAATTTGTTATTGTATGAATTACGGTTCTTAAGCTATGCTCAGTTTACTGACTACTGCCTCCCACGTTCACGGCCACATTTGGCCAAATATTGTACAAATGTTATTTTCTATTTTATGGTACGTTGTGGTCTGTCTGGTTGATATATAAACCGAGTATGTTTGAAATAAATGATTTATATTGCAGAAGCTGGTATTATGTTCTGGACTCAAGCGAATGGGCTAGGCGGACATAGGACCAATAAGGACGATAGGCTGCTCATATCGGTCGAACGTCATTGGTTTGGCATAGTGCTAAGACTGTATAAGTCGTATTTTGATCGGTGGACAGATCACGTGATAAAAGCCGGACATAAAGTCATAACAGTATCAAAATAGCTTTAAGATGAATTTTTGTTACATTAATTTTTGTGTGAATTCTATTATCAAAATTTATCAAAGGAACTAATTGTTTTGAATCCGATTAATTGACCTTCAACCCATTTTTCATTATAAGTTGTGTTCATCGATAATTACTCAGTTTTCATAGTTTACATCAAGGACATATCTTAGTTAGATCATCATTGAAAACCAAGAAGCACTGAAAAGCTGCATCATCCTAGTACTGAACTCCTCAACAGTGCGCATCCATGACTTCACTGGAGATTAAACCTAAAACCCTCAAATCAAACAGGAAGCATGAGATCATGTAATCAATAAACCAATATTCAACAAATTATATTTTCAATCATAAAAACTCCATGATATATATATATATATATATATATATATATATATATATATCAAGATCTCCATAACATTTCAGTGGCCAGTAATTTACTGACCTCTGGCTTACATCTTATCACCAGGATTGAAAGTAATGAGTTTGATCCCATATTTTGAAGCCGTGAGTGCGTGCTATTAAAGAGATCCATTTAAGGAAAAAATATCTGTCGGATGCAGTCTAGTTTTGAACGTTTCTCAAGATAATATCAGTTTTTGATGAAAGTTTCTACCGTTATCAAACTCTCGACATATAAATAATTTCCATAAAACTTTTTAACGTATCTATCACTCACCGTTTCATACATCAGTAATGGATATTTATGTTGATCATATTTATACAGTTCGATTCTTCCATTTGTGAAAGCGACAATTAATACCTCTTCAGTATTTTCACTATCATCATCATCATCATCATTGCTATTGTTTTTGTTACCGTCATAATTCAACATATTATAGTGTTCCAGTGATAGAATTTCACTGGTACCAAATTTTGATGAGGCTTCCCATATTCTTGTGACATTTTCACTAAACAAAACAATAACAATAATAGTAGTAATAAGTATCAAGTGAGGAATAGAAGATGCTATCAGGAAAGCGTAAATCGATAAAATTACTATTTGTAATGATCTCTGTATTTTTTTTGTCAATATTTACGATAATGTGTTTTATTAGTATCTGTTTGTATAAGCGGTTTGTTCAATGGATGTCTTAATAAATACTGCTTGCGCTTACATGATTATGATACTAGTTTCTAACAGTGGAACCCACATCATGGATTTCATTAGCTGAGTATACTTATATCGCACTGACAAACCCAACACCTAGTTCTTTGAATGTTGAGTTATCCGCTAAGCTAGTGAGTCAAGATCATATTTAGCTTATTCAATAGTTGTATGAAAAGAGACTGTTCTAATGTACCTCAGAATGTTAACAACACTAAAACATAAATCCTAATGAATAATAGCATGTAACCTTTAAACAAGTTGGTAGCTATCACAAGTCTTGGAGCTCAGTAAAATAAGCGCTAAATAATAAATTCATGTTTCACTGTGAACGTCAAAACCGAGATCAAGGTACGTCCATTTGCGATTAATAACAGTTACAACGAAACTCAAGTTCTAAATTACAACCTTAGTCACTATTGGAAATATATATTTAATTTGCTGAAAATATGTTCGAGGTACTGCAAAACTAAAAACGGCATGTGGAAAATACCGAAGTTGAAAATTTGTCCTGTAAACAAGCACAAATAAATATGGAACATTCATCAAATTAAAAAACGTAAAGTTATTTGTGAATGATCAGTACGTTTCCTGTCTACCAAGTGAGTTTGATAGTAATAACTATACATTTATATACTATGATAGCCTCAGCCTTATCATCACTTCTCCATAAGAATTCGTCAGCAACTTAAATTTGAAAATAACTCACATATGGATATAATGACTAGATTATTCCAAAGAAAAGAGATTCAAATATTCTATTAAGTTATTCAATAAACTCACGTAACTACATAGGAACCAAGATCTGTATAAAAACGAATCATGGAAAAGTTATCAATACAAGGATGCATTGATGAAGACCGAAAGAAATCCTCCTTATCAGAATCGAAGATTTATCCAGATTTTCTGCCTTGAAGACAGTTTAATTAAGCTACCCAATTACCGAAAAATATAAGGCAATAAGAATTTGGTTTGTACTTATATATGACTTATTTAGTATCCACACCCACGAGTTCCCAACACGGATCAAACTCACGGCGTTCAGGTTTCAAAGTAAATGTGCTCCCATTATTCTACTGAGTTAGTATTACAGAATATAATATATTCAATAAGCCAAATAAATTGACAAACTTGAATTATTTATACTGCAGTGTTTTCAAAATTATTAGTAAACTTAACGAAAGTTACCATTTCAAAATAACAACATTCATGAAATAAAGCCCTGTGATTTCTCACTCTCATGTACACCTCTTTCCTTACGGGTTTGAACTAAGAATCTGCAACTCTATCAGTAACCATGTTGCTATACAGTCGTTAGGTTAGCAGATTACAGAGAGTTGATAATTGCTCTCTCAATTATATTGACAAAGCTTATCGTTGAAATAGTTATCTTGATCATTTGATATGGTTGATTTCATACACTTCAGTATAACGTTAGAAACTAAAGAAATTTATCTAAAAATCAAGAGTTAATTATAATAAATAAAACTTCAGTCAATCAAATAATCAGTCACGAATTGATTGAAACTAGAAACATCAACAGTTGGATGTTAACTCAGTAGTCTAAAATTTCAACCCTCGTAGAGAGAAATAACGACCCCTGGTTTTCAAAGAATATATAACTAAGGTCAATCTCTTACGTAAAGTACAAAATTTATTAAAAATGTATTCATTTAATCTATGATGGTCTATTCACAATCCTTTCATACAAATTAATTTACAGATATATTAACATAGATAATATTTACCTTGTCACTTGAAAAAGACCAAAATAACCTTCTGATGTTCCATACATTAAATAATTTGAAGGATAACTTTTATGCGCTCTATTTATGGTGACTGGTGAACTAGAAATTTCCAATTCGCATAACAGTACACCATTCTAATAAATAAAAAAACAATAATCAGTAATATCAAGATTTTAATTGTTCAAAGATCCTCATCATATTAAAAGATTCATATTTGAATGAAGAATATTCTTTTCGATAAATTCTCTTCAGGTTCTATAATTCTCGTATATCCAAATTAATAATCCGAAAAATGGCCAGGTTAAGGGCAATGTATCACGTTTAAAGTGTATGAATTTAGGATTGTGATAAACAAAATACAATAAAATTGTTAATGTTGATATTGACTAAGACAGAATGTTAACTTGAATCTGCGTATATGTTAAGTGAAATCTTTTAAGATCCATGATCAGAATAAATATGGGTCAGATAGGGTAAGAGAGAAATAATAGTGCAATTACAAATTCGATCAACTTAGTAAGATGTAATAAGGAGGGATGAATACGAAGTGAATGAATCATGTATAGGAGAGATTAATAATGATGTTTAATCAATAATAGTGATGATGATAATAATAGTAATAATAATATTAAAGAGGAAGAATGTATTTGTAAAATCTCAGCGAAAGAATTTGAAGTAAATCCAACGTTTCGCCCGGCAATCTGTTCCAAGCTTTTTCAACGAAAATATAATCAAACAACAAAATTATCGAATATAATAATATTAATAATAATACAAAGATTTATGAATAAAGATAACAGACTACGAAAAGTCGTAGTCGTAGATTACTATTGATTAATTGGTCTTGATGTTGGCCAAAGGAGGAGGAGTGGTTGAAGATATGTCTTCTGTACGCATAGCTGCGGTTTCTTCATCTGGATGGCTACTGCTTCAGACGTTTGAAGAACTTTAAGTCTGACAAGCTTTCGCAAAAAATTACTGACTTTATAAATAATTGAAAAAGATTGGTTTATACTGGCACTATGACCAGTTTGTACTAAAAGGGCCAATATCGAGCTGTTCATTTTCTTCATCAAACCTTTGTTTAGCCACGCTGGGAGGTGTTCACGAGCATGAAAATGTAAATTCCTAGAACTTCGACCAATATAACTCGCTCCACAGGAGTAGTTGAACTGATAAATAAAAAATGAGGTGGTCATTCTAGGCAATTTATCTTTTAGCCTCAGTGTCACCACTGGGCGCGTAGAAAACATTAATCACATTTCCTCGGCGTTAAAAAATTTCTGTAACATCTTACGTAATCTCTGAGTTACTATTTCACTAGCCGCGTCCCCTCTGATTGATTAATTTGGATCTATAATTATAGAACCTGAAGAGAATTTATTGAAAAGAATATTCTTCTTTCAAATATTTGTCTTTTAATATCAAGATTCTTATGAAACATAAAATAGAAAATTTTAATATTTTACTTACTTTCAAAATACGTATTAATTTATCTTTACAAGCAAGAACAACAAGTGGTATTGAACATGTAGCATCATTATTAATCACATATATACTTGTAATAATATCAGGTAATAGAAGAAATTCAGTATCTTTAAAATTTGTTAATTGTTGATACATACATCCTACAGTGTAATAAATATTTGTAGATTGTATAAACCTAAATAACTCAAAGAAAATGAACTATGATTATTTGTTTTAATTAGTTAACATACATTGAATTCACATGACCTTGAATAGTTGAAGAATATTCAAAAATTTGTTTTCCTTTTAATGTAAATCCAGATATATTAAAATTATGACAAACACTAATAATACGTTGTTTCTCATTATTTTGATATGTTCCAATACAAATACATGTAATTGGTGATCCCACAGAAAATTTTGTATGCTATTAGAAATATATATAAGTATATATACATTACAACAACGTTTTACTCTGTCTTATTTACCTTTAATCCATTAATATATTGAAATGAATGTATATCACCAGTAGTATCTGCCACAATTAATTTACTCTTATAATGTTTGTTAGATAATGCCTTAGATGGTAATAAGAGTTTTGCAGAATTTCTAAAGGTTGTTTTTATCTAAAGTAATAGGTAGTAAATTTTGTTTTATATTTTTTCCATACAGATGTATAATGTGTTTGATGAAGATTAAATGACATTGAACATTCAATAGTGTTGTTTTAATCAAATTAGTTTCTACGCGTCAGTCAGTCAGTCAGTCAGCTACAACATAGGCTGAAAATGTATATTAAAAAAAAAAAGTTACATTAGTTCATTTTAAGAGTAAGTACAGAAAAAGTATAAACGAATTTACCCGGCGATTTACTTCAGTAACTTGTTACTGTCAGTAGCATGATAAAATATCTGTGAAAAAAGTAAATATTATTTAAAAATGATCCAATTGGAATGATGGTAAGATTGGCATGAAGTTAATTTCATTAATTCTACATCTATAATATCGAGTAAAAACTATTTGCAAAAGAATGTTAACGATTCTAAATTATTTTATCATTAAGCATAGATTTGAATGACACCGTCACACTTTCTAGATATCAAAAACCTTAGAATTTGAAATAGTAAACAATATGGCTCATATATCAAGTACATATTTATGTATTCAGCTCTAGGTCACACTTTCTTATGATCGGTAACATTACTACATTTTTAAATGAGTTAATTTTAGCCATGACTTCTATTTTATTTTGCATTGTTAATTATTCCCCATCACATATACTTGACATGATGTACTTTTTGAAGAAACAATACCTAGGTGATTATATTTTAAGTAGTTCATATTGACTAAATATCGTCTAGAAGACTTTTCCAGGTGTGGGATACTACATTACTATTAAATTTTCATTTCATTCATACAAAACTTAAGATACGTGTAGGAGTGAAATCATCAAACACTGGCAGCTCTATGCTTTTAGTGTAACAACAAGGATCCAGTTGCATGAAATTTTCTGAACTACACAGACATGAAGATGTAAATAAGACAAGATAATATGAAATGGCTTCTAATCGAGAGGTACTGAAAAGTTGAAATGAACATTTAACTTGTTACTTAAAATGTTTTGTTTTCATATGATTAGGAATTAACAAAATGTTTCAGTATACTTGAGGAATAAATTAAAAAGTTCGTTAACAAAATTCCGATGACTTGAATTAGATGGATGAAAATTTTAGTATAAACCAGTCACTTAACCAAAAATACATTATTTCAAACAATTCAGTAAAAATACGTCACTCCACAAGGATGGAATTCGATTTCCTGTTGCTTAATTTAATATCGAAACAACAAAGTGACGTAATGAGGATTAAAATAGGTTCTAAAAGTTTCTTTTGAGATTTTAGAAAAACGACCACTAAATATGAAGTTACTATTCATAAACCAGTATGTATCATTTAACCATCTTTATGTTACCCTACAAACAATTGCATTTTGGTTGTTTCATAATAAAACACAGAAATTACATTGTATAACCAGCACTGTGAGTTAGTAATTGATTAATGGATTGAAATAACTATATAGAAATTAAGTATGCAGTTCAAGGCAAACATTTTTCACCTGTTCAAAATTCTACGGAGAAAAATAGGTTAGTTAGTCAGCTATAATCATCGTATAGTCTAATATGAATGTATGTTTGCTCAAGCTGCCGCACCACATTAGCAAAATGAGATGATAATAAAAAGATAACTAGAAAAGGAGTTGAAATAACGACAGCATCAATTTTAATAAATACAAAACGTTAAAAACCTGGTTCAAAAAGACAATGTAGAACGGTATAAAAGGGATGCTAGAATTAACGATCGAGAAGTTGGAGAGTGAATGGATTTGCATCATTCTGATTGATTCTGGAACATATCACTAGTGTTTCCGACCAATAAACCCGATCATAGCGAAGACCACAACAACATACTCCATACCTATCAACATACATCAAACCAGGTTCTTGACTTAATTGACTGATCCAATACACCAAATTAGGACCGCCCAAGTTTCTTTCGACTCGCTTCCACAAAAGAAGAAAATTTCACATCGAAGCACGCAGTAGTTGGGAATATGCAATAAATAGCCAATCACCTCAACTGATGAACTGATGAATAGAGTTTCACCAACCGACCTGCTACTCTTATGACTCACTCAGTTTTTCCACGTTTTTCAAACAATATTTATAGGACATCTCTGATCAGACACCTTTGGTCTATATATATCTTCCACAAGCTCTCTAACCTACCCTCCACCCTGCATATGCATGGTCAGCTGATAAAGAGACTTATTGTTAATGAAAATCTGTCATCTGTCATAGAAAATATAGATTTTCAGTTCAGTTAGCCAGATAATATAATTTTGACCGACCTCGTTAAAGTTTAATAGTTGAGAATGCAGCAAAAATTAAATAACAAGTGCATCACAATGGCAAGTTGCCATTATATTTGTGATTTTTTAAATATATTTTTAATCTCTAGGTTTAAATGCCTACAACAAAATAAGATGCATAGAAACATTTTCAAAATTATTGAATGCTGGAATCAAAACAAAAATAGTTAGCTGAGTTCATGTTTCTGAAGCAACTAATTTTGCGGACCGGCAGAAGAGTATTATTAATCGCATCTATCCGTTTGCCAAATATCAAATTAACAATTGATGTCATCTAATGGTCAGTAGATCTACCGCCGAGAGATTTCTCAGTGAATTGTCAGTTCAATGTGTTTCTAAATACAGATAACTAAAAAACAAACAACTAAAATGAGGATACTTTCACTAGATTCGTAAATTATTAATCTTAAGTTGCGTCTCACTGTACTTAACAATATATTCAGAAGTAACGAGACATATAAAGCAAACGATCCATGGAATCCGTCAACGGATACTCAGTTAAAATTTCATGGGCCGACTGTGATGTTTACTCAGCAAGTAAGACTATAAAATCTAAAATCCACACCGTAAATCCATACTAGAGTTTTAGTTTAATGAGTAAACATCATCAATCCTAATTTGAAAAAGCCACATTGACTTACCACTCACGAAATACAATTTTAGAAAAGAAAGTGAACATAACTTGTCAAATTGCTACGAGAATATAGTTTCACGACTTGGAGGATCATTTGAAAGCGTGAAATGCAAAAGTAAATCTAGGAAGGTCTGTGATTGTTGTAGTTGCTGTTTCCATTTAGTAAAATCATAGAAACAGTCTGTTACGAGCTCGAAATCAAATGCTAATATGAATGAATCTTAACAAGACAACTTAATTTGTATGGTCAGCGTTATTTTTCTAATGAAATATTCAAATATTGTGCGGAAGTGCATTTTTTAAAGTTATAACATTATAGGTTAAAAGAGATCATATGATAAATTAGACAGCAAGTGTCATGAAATAATAGAAAAACACACTATAAAAATCACCAGAAAGTGGGATCAGGCGCAAAAAACGTTAAGATAAACACAATGATTGTTATTAATTTTATGGATCTAAATTTACGGAAAAGTGAGCTTCTGTTCACTAAGCAGAATCAAAACCTGATGACAAATGACTGTATTACCTAGGTAATTTTATATCATTGCATTAGCCTGGTTCTTTTGACGAAAGATAAAGATTTACCTTAATAGTTCGAATCAATATTTATGTTGTATAAAATAATAATTTTTCTAGGGTCGTATTGGTCTTACACGAAGTCGTAATGAGCATAAGATTTGTGGCGAAATAATCAGTTTCACAGTTTAGGTAAACTGATATGACCTGAGGCTGTTGAAGAAATTCAGTAACTCTTTACATTGGAATGAGTAAGGTCGACAAACTGTGTATAACTTGGAGTTGCTGAAGCAGAATCGTAAGCTATGTATTCAAAACAGGATTACATTGTATTCTGTGATAAACATTGCTACTAATTTGACTAAATGTTTGGTCTTATGCTTTCTATGTTTAGCTTCATCTTTAATTTTTAACATCTCGTAAGTGTTGGCTGAGTACAAGTCGTTTACAGTATATGTATGATTAATTCAACATTTTTTTATTAACATGCAAACCCAATCAACCAACAAAGGGGAAATAAAGACGAAAATGCTTTGGGAAATAAATGAGAAGTAAAAAAGAAACTCGCCAAAATGTCTGCTTTTTCGCCTAAATATACGCCGAATTGTGTGATTAATCGCACAACAGGCTTACTTAAGTATACTCAATAACAACAGATCATTATTTGCTGCCTTCTGGTCAAGCTACTATGAGGTCTACAAACTGATTTCAATAACTGAAGAGCGGATATTACCATTAAGTTCAAAAGAAAGAACCAATAACATATAGCTATATGTTAATGGTTCTTTCTGGAAGCGAATGTCTATTCCAAATTAACTAATAAGCAAAAATGAAGCCATTGAATAGTAACATGACGGATCGTTATTTTTGAAAAGTTTAAAAAGATTTTAGTGGTTTAAACTACAGAAAGTACTTTCTGCATAGACGAATTCGTCTAGACGGAATTTAAATTTGTCTATCCAGAAAGTACTTTTTGTAATAAAGAAGAATACCGGGTAGCTTGAGTGATGAAAGCTTGAAAGGAAAAGGACAAAAGAAAAAGTGTTTTGAAGACAGAACAAACGCACGTAATACACTCACATTCACTAGATAAAACAGCCAAACAATTCGAGATAGTACAGTTTCTTGGACGCGATGATAATAGTCATTTGGCACACTAAAACAAGTCTACTGAACTTACGAGAAATTAAGTTGAGCCACCTAATCAGTCTCCGCATTTTTAAAAAAAATTTTGTTCATCTGTCATAGTCATAGTTGACAACCTCTCAATCTTGGCTCCGCTGAGAAAAAGCAATCATGCCGTTATAGCTTTCAGTTTCGTCAGCAAAACTGAGCTAAGATATCCCACCAACAACTTGCGCTGGAATTTCAAACAGTTGAATGTGTCAGCTTCACAGGACTATCTACAACAGGTGGATTGGGATATTCACCCTCAACTCGATGTGGATGCTCATTGGGACTTCTTACAGCACACGCTCATAGTGCTACAAATCATTCAGTTCCTCAAACGGTCCTCCATAGCTATCAGCGACCCACAATCATCAGGAACCGCACTCTTCGCCTGCTAGGCCGCAAAAGGCACTGTTGGGCAGAGTACAAACGAACTGACAACAACGGAGCGTACAGGCAATACAATCATATAAGTAACATATGCACGAAGGCTATGAGATGACAGGCTTCAGTACCAGACAAAGCTTATGGACAAATTTGTCTCTAATCCGAAAAGCTTATTTCGTTGCGCAGCCTATCTTCGTCAAGCCAAAACTGGAGTTTCCCAACTGCTAGGTCCCAACGGCCCAACCAACGACGACGGCGACGCCACTAACCTTTTGGCTGAACAATACTCTCGGATATTTCAACCGACCTACATGAACTATACTGACGAAAGCTTCATCTGCAACTCCAAAAGACTTTCCGAAGTGAACCTGAGCGCTGACTTGGTGTTCCGGAAACTGTAACACTTAAGAATTGACACCTCCTGGCCCAGACGTGGTTCATTCTGCCATACTGAGGGAAGCAGCCTCAATCCTGGCAACACCGCCTAGCGTGATATTCTTACACTCGCTAAGCCGAGGAAAACTACGGGAAAATTGGAAGCTCGCTCACATCACACCAATTTTCAAAGGAAGTCGACACAGAGAACCTTCAAGTTACCGACCGGTGGCTCTTCTCTCCATACCCTCAAAAATCATGGAGTCCTGATATGTGATGGTATAAATGGCTATTTACTGTCCTTAAATTTCTTCTCACCCCAACATCATGGTTTCAGGAAGGTTTACTCTTGTATAACCAACCTGCTGACTGCGGTGGACAGATGGACAAGCATCCTCGATTACAAGGGGAAGGTTGAAATCATTTACCTTGATTTCTCAAAGGCTTTTGATAAGGTTAACCATACATGTCCTATCAATAAGCTCAAACGATTGGGTATAAGACCACCTCTAGACGATTGGCTCACTTCATACCTGAAAACTCGACATTTTAAGGTCAGGGTTAATTTCACTTTATCTCAGGCTATGGAATGTCCTAGTGGGGTCCCCGAGGGCTCAGTACTAGGGCCTCTTCTCTTCTTGATCAACATAAATTGTCTTCCTCAACAGGTAACGTCAGACTTATTACTTTTTGCCGATGACGTGAAACTTTGGAGAGAGATACGCAACCAAGACGATATACAGGCACTTCAGGAGGATCTGACTCGACTTCAAAGTTGGGCAGACGATAACGGACTTACCTTTAACACTTCAAAGTGTAAAGTAGTCCATCTGCGACATGTCGCAGACTGCAGTTATAACTTAGGAAACTCCTCTCTAGCAGTATACCAGTTCGAAAAAGATTTAGGAGTCCGGGTGTCCTACGATTTAAAGTCTCACGCTAACTGTGACAAAAATACCTTCCGAGCAAACCTTGCACTGGTAACATTGAAGCGCATTTTTGGCCAGTTTGACGGAAGAACTTTCAATATAATCTTCAATAGTTTTATCCGTCCCCATTTCGAGCACGGAAACATAGTATTTCCTCCCTCACTCCAAAAGAGTAAGGACACCCTGGAGCGTATCCAAAGGCAAGCCACGAAATCAGTTCGAGGACTCAAATTTAAACCTTACGAAGAGCGCCTCCAATCAGTTAACCTTTACCCATTAGAGTATAGACGTCTTAGAGGTGACCTTCTGATGGCTTACAGTATCCTTAGCACTTCTGGACATCCTCTCAAACGCCTACTTAAGCTTAGTTCCAACACGAACCTATGAGGTAACACCCAAAAACTGGAGACACAACATAGCAGAACGGACTGTAGACACAACTTCCACTTCTTAAGAGTTGTCAAATGCTAGAATTCGCTGCCGGCCGAGCTAGTTTAAGTAACTTTCCAGGAGTCCTTTAAGAGGCAATGTAATCTATTCTTAAGGATTAAGGATAGTATCACACTATGATTTACTAATTTCTGTTTCCTCTTTTATTGTTAACATGCCTAGTTTCATGCCTGGAGGTTTTGGTGATCTCCTGCTACTAGACACGGAAGCCTGTTAAGCGAAAGCTTCTATTCTGTCCACAACCATTTGAACCATTTGAATAGTCTAAACATTCTACCCCACAACCCTAAAAGGTGATCATTAGTTGACCGGGTTTCCTGCAGGGGTAAATGACTTATCCTAGGATTGTATGATCACCAAATCGATATCTTTTTAAGCAACTGATTGTCTGACACATTGTGATAAATTATTGATAATAGAATTAAAGAAGAGTTTTCCAATCGTAATGAATAACAGTTGTATTAAAAAAATGATAGCTCAATAAAAGAACGAAAACAACGTGGCAGGAAGACGGACGAAATTTAGAGTTGCAAACTTGTCGACTCAGTGATGGATCGGTCTTTCCTTCAAACTGCTTTCTTACAGACAAATAAACGATGAATCAGTCTGTTAGTACTCAATTTTCTCTTGAGACCGTTTACTGATGGAGTTCCTGCTCTATCGAATTACAAAATCTTTCAAGAAAACGCTAGCAATGTGTTACGATAAAATACTAACGGCTAGACAATCTTTTAAATGCATCTTAAAGTCTGTGACGTGTCCTTTACATATTTATATCAGCTGATATTAAAATCTGAAATAATCTAAACCGAACTACAACTGAGCAGGTTGGAGAATTATCTGATAACACTAGTACATTCAATGACTCCGTAGCTACAGGAGTGTTGTTTCTTACTAAAAAGCGATTATAAAAAACACCGAGTGGAATCATTCTCGAAGTCATTTCTGTCATGTATACATGAAAGCAAACAGAGAAGTGAGAATAGTATTCAGGCTGAAGCAATCTATTATTCCAAAAGACCATAAAATGGATTGACCTTTTTCACGGATCATGAATTATACTAGCTATTAAAGAAAATTACTATATACAGGAGTTGGAAAATAAGTGATTTTACCGTACCGGTCGTGTTAGCACCCAGTTGTATCCTAAAGGATGTTAACTACCAGCTAACTTACTTAACCAAGGGGTGGCAATGCAATAACGTTGCAAGCCTAGAAACAAGTGAACCAGTTAGTGTTAACCGTGCTGGGACATTACAAGGGTCTAAGTCAGGTCATTAGTTACCATATAGTAATCAGTCAGTATGCTACAAACTGTTAGGGCTACTTGAAAATTGTTTAGTGTTTTAACGAGTCTAAGACGTGACCAACTGAAAAATGATGAAAATGATGACACTTAATATTAGGTTGATCTCGATTTCAGGAAGCGTAGGATATATATTTTTCGATCATTAGAAATGGTGGAGATTTTTAGTTCAGATGGATGACATTTGCAGAGTTTCTTTCTTTGACATCAGAGGAAGAAACTCTATCTAAAGTTTCATGCATTTTTATTGTAAGATCCGTTTTTAATGTTTGGTGTGTGTGAAAATCCCTCCATGTATACACTTGCACTTTGTTCCTATTGATTCCCTTAGTTGTACATCGTCTGTCTTTTGATTACATTTGAATTGTTAATATTTGTATTTTTTGTTATAGTTTTTATTTTTCTTACGCCTTCACTAAGTTTTTGTGTTTCTTCCCGAACTGCATCTATGTTGTTTTACTTGATATTTATTCTTGGCGGCAGCCATATTGATTTGCTTCTCCTTTTGTAAGGATAGAATAGCGTTCATTTGTTGTGACTGGTAATTTTTCCCTCATCTTTTATCAACCTCTTTATTTATAGTAATTTAGATTTGATTGACTGAACAATTATTGGTTGAATAGCCGGGTGGTAATATTTGTTTAAGTAATGATGTACGTTTAAATTTATGATGAATTACAGAACCATCATCTACCCGATTACTTGTTTTGATTTTGACGGGCAAAGGCGCGTGTCTACCCTATCTGAACGGCTGTTCTACAGTCCAAACCGTAGTTTGGATTCTACACTTATGGCATTGAACACCTATATATACTTTTAGTATCGGAACTTAAAAGTGTATGCGGTACTTCATATTTTGCTGAAACACTAGATCAGTACTAAGGACGGGCGTTATTGTACTACTGAGGCTCATTTTTTATGTACATTCCAAAGGTGGTAAGTTCTGAACAAAAGTCGGAAGAATACCTTTCAATGTTGACAGTTAGCCCGTTTTATCTATAAAAAGCCGAACTATTGATTGCAGTATATCTTTATTAAGATCGTGAAACAACGGTTGGAGTGCGAGGTTCTCTTTTCAAACACGCGCACTATGCTGCAAATGTCATTAGACAGCCAGTCAATTCAGATGCTATGCCCTGTGATACATTGCCCCTTAATCCAAATAATGTTCCCTTATTCTTCACTTCTTGTTATGTTGGCCTAGGAAACTCTGGGCTATAAGGGATTCTGGATATCAGCCTTCTCAAGTTCTAAATATCCATGACCACCTCAGGTCACATAGAAGCAAAAATCGGTTATTAAATGTTTGCGATACTAGTTAATAACGAATAATATCACAGGTTAAAATTTGGTTCAATAATGCTTTTCAAACACTATGCATTCAAAAGTTCCCCTGATACAAAATAATGTACTGCTACTGAATATGACTGTTAAGTATACAAGAGTCAACAAGAATATCGCATACATAACAGATCAAGATTTTGTTTGTAAGAGTTACGTCAAACAACAAACGTATCTAACACTACTAAAGAGCAGGATGAATCTCCCCGACCTAAAAGTCATGACTGGGGACCACTGGTGGATATGGATTACTTGATCACAATTGAGTTGCTGCAGTGATGTACAAACCCGTTAATGAGCTTGACTGGAAATTCATGTCCTATTCCGTAATGGAACCAGTAGAAAAGACTGTATACCTTTATTTCAGGAATCAGTAACACTAAATGGTGGTATTCCACTCCAAATAATAGCTCATTTTCATAACACAGTATCAGTATACCAAATAAGTCATAAATATTACCAATGAAAGACGAAAGACCGCCTAAGCAGTGTAAAAAATTGTCTCATGTGTCCATGAGAAAAAAAATTAGAGGCAAGATGTCATGTTTTAAGATAGTTTACAAAAAGGAACGAGGTTTATTTGACTGTATACAGATAGTCAATATTATACGGAATTCCTATGATGGATTAAACTGCAAAATCGTGAAAGGAGGACGCCTGACGGACTCGTTCGAAGTAAAGACCGGTGCCAGGCAAGGTTGCTTACTCTAACCTTTTCTATTCCTCTCAGTGATCGACTGGATCATGAAGACATCAACATCTGGGGATAAGCATGGGATACAGTGGACAGGTAGGATGCAGCTGGACGATCTAGACTTCGCAGATGATCTGGTTCTTCTATCGCACACGCAAATATAAATGCGGAAGACGATCAGTGTAGCAACAGCCTCGGCAGAAGTAGGTCTCAACATACACAAAGGTTTAAACACGATACAACACAGTATGTACCAATCGAATCACACTTGACGCAGAAGATTCGGAAGATGTGAAAACATTTACATATATGGGCAGCATCGTTGATGAACACAGTAGATCTGATGCAGGTGTGAACGCGCGGATCGGCAAAACAAGAGCAGCATATCTGCAACTGAAAAACATGTGAAATTCAAAACAACTGTCTGTGCACCAACACCAATGTCAGAATTTCCAATACAAATATCAAGACAGTTCTACTGAACGGGGCGGAAACCTGGGGAACTACAAAAGCCATCATCCAGAAGATATAAGTGTTCATTAACAGTTGCCTACGCAAAATACTCCGGATCCGTTGACCAAACACTACACTATCAGCAACAACTTACTGTGTGAGAGAACAGATCGGATTCCAATGGAGGAGGAAGTCAGAAAGAACTGTTGGAAGTGGATAGGACACGCATTGAGGAAAGCACCCACCTGCGTCACAAGGCAAGCCCTAACACGAAATCCTCAAGACCAAAATAGAAGAGGAAGACCGAAGAACACATTGCTCCGTGAAATGGAGACAGACATGGGAAGAATGAATAACAGTTGAATAGAACTGTAAAGGAATGCCCATGACAGAGTGGGTTAGAGAATGTTGGTCGGCGGCCTAGACTTCATTGGGAGTAACAGGCGTAAGTAAGTAAGTCCTGCGTTCGAACCAAATATTAGTATTTCGGTTTTTACAATGATAGTAGTCGAAATGTTAAATAAACAGTTAGACTTCTGATGAAGATTTGTTCTCTGAGTTAGATGGCTTAGTCATGGAGCTTTCACCGTTTGTGCTGATGGCGTCGTTCAAAAGAACCATGAAGGCTCCACTACTAAACATACAACTCAGAGAGCGAAACTCAATCAAAGTCACTTACCCGAGTTACAAATCTTCTCCACCATCTCAAAACTGCTGGACATTCATCTTTTTCTCCTAACTTGACGGTACTCGCCGGTTTCGCAAACACTTATGGCAGTGGATGAATTTGATAGAATAACATAGATACATAAGCATCGGAGAATTCTTCGGACAATAATTGATTTTAACGCGACTCATGTTGCCGAGTATCTAGAGTAAATAAGCCGACTCTGAAACATTAATTGATGTAGACAACTGAAAAAAGATTACAACAGACACAGGAAAACGCAACGGTCTACTGTAAAAGCATCTCCCGAATGTTTTATTTGAATTCACTAAGGATGAAAGTTAAGGATTAGAGGCTGAAATGCTTCAATCTTGGTAACCCATAAGTTGATTCTCAAGGAAGACAAGTCGTATCCAGTTTGCAACCAGTATTTAATGGATCAACACACAAACTCTTGTGGTTCACACAAATGATCACTTAATTCGACACTATGGGAACCCATCAATTACGAAAATATGACGTAGAGGGAGCGTCGATTTGGAAACTTCCCTCTATTTTCAAAGAATATGTGATCACGATGTTATGATCAAATACCTAAAGATAGCATCCTCTACATAATACAATGCATAACCACACCGGAAGATTTTAATACTAGTTTTTTAGGTTAATCTCACCTAACTAGAAATGTCAGCAACAAGAAAAAAGCTGACAAAAACTAGGAAGTTTCGACATAAAAATTAACTATAAACACAAAATATGTTCTTGTGGCAATTGTTTCAAACAAATTACTCTTCCTATACATTAACGCTAATAGTACACCAAAGTTACTTGACGCTGCTTGTAGGAGAATAAATAAAGCCGAACAAGTCAAGTCCTCGAATCACAAAACTTCTTCAAGAAAAGCAGGATACAGTAGAATGGCTAAATGAATATAAGAAGTGGAAGCATGCATACCCTCATTATACACAAGTTACCTAATATTATCAAAAACATTGCTCCAATTCATGTTTATGTAACAAATGTTTGGCAGGAGCTGCATGTGAATGAGAATGTACGTTTCCCGAATTTCCTCACTTGCCAGTGTAGCAGGGAATATCTCCATGCTTAAGGAGATCCTGGTGAAATTCACTTGACAAGTCGTCGACTCCAACTAAAACGACCTAAGAGGTTCACTATGTCATGACTCATTGCAAATACTTAGATAAACACCATACATTCGTACCTTACTGAACAAGTCACAAAATGAGCGTCTTTCATATTTTAATATCTTTTACTGTTACACAATAAACCAAAATAGACCTCAGTTGTGCTTTATAATTATCGCCCTGAAAGATTTCATAGAAGCTGTTATCAAAGGCCTAAAATCTAGAAGCAAATTCACAACACTAACACAGCAAACATTTATAAAATGGAATTTATTTATCAATAAGCTGCTAAATTCTAAACCAATAAAGGTCTTTCAACATAACATATTTTTTCATCCGAATTAAAATATTATATTCAGAGGCCACATTAATTCGCAACAACTTTTATGGTCTCGACAGACTCGTGGTTAGATACATAATAGAGAATACTAAATTCAGTACAAACTCATTCTTATACTGGAATTGGTGGGATAACGAGGCATGTTGATGCCCACAACAAAAACTTGAAAAACAAGAAAAACGACAACAAAGATAAAGATCTGAATGTGTGCAACACAATGTTATGAAAATAAAAAATGTCGTTTTGTGTAATTAGTACTGACTTAGGATAAAATATAAAATAGGATTACCTGGTGGTTATTGAAATTTGAAGATAGAATAATGATATGCGACCTAAAATTTACAAATTTATTCCCAAAGTAATGATCACTTCGAACCTACCACAAGAAAATTTAGTCTCTCATGATTAACTTCATTCACTATAAAATAGAGTTAAAATGGTTCAAACGGTTTTGGACAGAATAGAAGAAGCTTCCACTTAATGCGCTTCTGTATTTAGTGGCAGTGGATCACCGATAACTCCAGGCAGGAACCTGGGTATATTATTGATAAAAGAGGAAAAGAAAAAATGCTGGCAAATCATAGTAAGATTCTACCCTTAATCCTTAAGAATATGCCAAGTTTTCTCTTGAAGGACTTCTGGGAAGTAGCTTGGACTATCTCAGCTGGCAGAGAATTCCAGCAATTGATTACTTTTATGGAGTAAAAGATATGTCTACAGTACGTTTTGCGGTGCTATGTCTCCAGTTTCTGGGTCCTTACCCTTAGGTTTGTGAGCGTAATAGTTACCACACAAAATAATATCAAATAATTTCTTCTTTCTGTCCTTAAACCGGAAATCAGATAAAATTAGAGGGTCTATTTGTTATAGGAGTTGTTTGTTTGCTTCGACCTTGCAAGTATCAACTTTGTAAATTTGGTTCAAAACCGATTGGTGTGTGAGTGTGGGTTCATTTTTGTGGATGGTTCTCTTTTCGTTCAATGATAATAAGTGTTAAAAGTGTAAGTCACTAAATAGTCTGTTTAATATTATTGTATTTTTCAACACAATCGCTTGCATTCGTACGGAAGTGCACTTGGGATAGGAGTTCTAACAGCTACATTCAAAAACTGTCTTATTTAGAGGTCTCAAGTAATACAATAACAGTGGTTTCACTAAGACTAAGCTCTTCAAAGGGAAAAGAAGTGCGGCTTTATTTCATAAAATGAAAGTTACATAGACAATGAAATGAGTTTCGGTTGCACTGCAGAGTCAGTTAGTTTAAGAGAAACAATAATATACTTTGCCAAAGTAACAATACTTTGGCATCGAAATTGTTAAGAAAAAGTATCTTTTTTGTATAATTGTAACATTCGGGTTTGAAATGTTATTAATTAATTAACCAGGTACAGATTCGTGTATTTCGCTGAAAGCTACACTTCAGGTGTAAAGTTTAAAGATATTACCCAGCTGCCCAAAACAAAGTAGAGGAAGCAGTTTATAAACTTGCGACCTATTGGTTAAAATCCAAACCAATGGGCCGCTGCTTTAGAAGAGAGATGAGACGCTATTGACGGTAGTATTTTGAAAAGCTGGTTTGTATCACATTGCCGATATGCAACATATGCAGTATCCCAGACATGCTGGCCAACTAAACAACATAATACTCTGTTTCCCTCGTCCGGCGTACTATCTTTTCCACCTGACACGACTAACTTACGAGTCAAGATATTTTTGAAGTTACTTTTGTGAATTCATAGTGTTATGAAGTCATTTACTTTATCAATCCCAGCAAAGTAGCTACTTTTGAAAATAACGAGAATGTAATGATGTCATTCTAATTTTACTGTTCATCCATAGAGATTGCGTAGCGATCTTTTCATGTATATTTAACCCCGTATGGTGACTTTCGTTTCCAAGCCTTGTACGTTGCTGAAATAAAATAAAAAGTCCAGTTGATGCACGAGATAAGTGAGCACACACAAACCTAACTGCGCATTATAGTCTTATTGAGGCGTTTCGTTTACCAACAGAAATTCAATTTTTTAAGCTTTTCCTCATAAAGAGGTACTCCATACAAGTGTTGGTTTTTCTGACAACAAAAGCGACAATTATAAAAACATTTTACTTGTTAACCAGGAAGCTCATTGATTGGGTTCAGTAAACCCTGCAATATGAATATCTTTATTTGATACAGCAACAAAGACAGCATAGTAATTATATTAAGACAGAAGTTTTGTCGGTGTCAATACGATTAGATTTACTAGTCATTTCTTATGGAAAGTAATATTTGAAGATATAAGCCATTCAGGTTTCTCTTCTGATGCACGCCATATGTCACTGCGACCTTATGTTGCCTGCATGGTTTTTTACTCAGTACAATCAGTTGTGATAACAGGTGATTTTAGTTACGGCAAAAGTTGTCTACCAAAAAGACAAGTCAAACTTACAATTTGATAACTACAATAAGTGATGAGCGTCTCGAAAAGGATGCTTTGTTGAGTCTACTCGTTTAGTAGTTCGGTTTAATTTACTGTTTAGCAAAGAAAATAATACATTCCGTTGGTTTATTCATCTATTTTACATGTGATTTTCCGACATCTGTGTTAGACTAGTAAAACCGTAAAGTTCACACAAATCTAAATTGCTAGTAAGAAGCAAAACATGGAAATCAAAAGGTTTATCAAAATCCTTACTGAGCTAAGCAAATAATTAACCTGATTATTTTCATTTTCAAGCTGCAGACTGGCTAGAAGGTGGAATAATCCTTTTAGGATTCATGAAGTCAGTTCACATGACTACTGGTTTCAGACGAGCATTGTCAGCGTTCATTTGTTTAGTGACAGGTCAGGTTGATTGATTTCCGATTGCTTGGATTATAAGAGGAGCAGTGGTCAGTTCACCATCAGTTTTGCTGTTCATGCGTTTAAAAAACAAGATGTTTCTGAGCATTAACCTTTTTACTTCTTGCCTCAGGCTGATTTAAACGAGTTCTTTAAAATAGGCTTCGTCTAAATGTCAGTTTGAACCTTGCATAGAAAATGAAACTACGGGTCCTCAAAATCATGACATATGTTAATTAGAAATGCTCGACAGCTTGGCTTTGGCGTTCCACACTGTGATCTGTAGACACGTCTACTATATTCCCTGGCCAGAAACCGATTTTCATCATTAATTACTTCTCTTGATTTTCTTCTAGTTTCACGTATTGCAAGGTAAACCACCGTACATTGCTCTGTCTCGTTTTTATCTCAAGAACTGTTACTCTACTGAATGTTTATAAATATCGATGCTAATTTTTTTGGATGAAATAATCATCGTCAAAAACAACAACTTAACCACTATAATTATATCATTGTATCCCTATGTTCGTAAAATGCTTTCATATAATCTGTATTCGTTTGTCTGTATTCTTGGTACTATTTTATCTAGACGAATAGACGCCATGTGTCTAAAAGATACCTGAGGAAGTAGTTAAATACTTTGGTAAGTAAAATGTTTCATTTTTCCGAGTTCCTAACTTGGAATGCAACCGTACTCTGCGAAAAATCAACTGTCCCATCATTTTATGTCGATTTAGAACGCAAAACAACACCTCCAGAATTTTCTGCTGAAACAGTGATCAGGGTGATTAACTTGATATTACTAGTTTAAATAAGATCATTCAAATAAATGTTTTATCTTGTAGCTTGGAACTTTGTCGTGCAAGTTGTAGTTCACTGTTTTGATCACTCAGTTCTCGATTGCTGTCACTCTGTTTAACATACCAAAGTTTAAACAACCAATTAATATCGTTATCTTCCGGAAAATCCTTGTGGTTTATTGTTTTTTAAATTTGTTGCTAAGTAGTGATTCTATAATAACCTAACCTTTTCTGTTTATCCCATAAGACCACACTGTAGATAACCTAAATTAGTCATTACTAACTGTTGTAAAACCAAAATGTATTAGGGTTCACCCTTCAAATCCCACACAGGTTGAACTTTCTTATAGTAATGCCTAATACATTCGTATATCAAAGTCAATTAAAATAACTTCCTTAAAGCTAAATCCTGCGGGAAGTCATCTCAGTGTTACAATTTCATAGTTCATAACTTTAAAGCCTTTCACTATGATAACCCACACCTAAAACTAATGCTTTTTTAAACTTTTTAGGGCCGTTGTCGTCCATGGAATCACCTGAGAAGCAAACTCCCAGGTCTAGCAATGCATTTAAAAACAAGCCTGGGCGAGGTCGAACCGCCTCACACGTCAAGAGGTCTAATGATAGAACAAGTCGTTCAATGGCTAGTAGACGTACATCTGTAGACTCAAGGAAAAAAAGTAATCCCAAATGTAGTAGAGGAAAAGCTTATGCTAAGGTGATTACTATGTTTAAATATTCAGTGATGTATACACTACAATCGCCTAGTAACTACAATCAACTAAGCCAGTATGTTTTTTGTTTGCTGGAACATTTAATGGAACTCAGTGAGTAAACATTTTCTCACCTCAGAATGAAATTACGTTTGTATACTTAGAAGTCACGTTTTACATAGTCGCCAAAATCGTTTGTGTTTCGTCTGCTCAGATGGGTATTACCTAGAGAGAATTTAACGATTGCGATAGACATTCGTCTTAGCAATCCCCTCTCCAATTAGAGAGAAATTGATGTCATATGGTGTATGGGAGCGTAGAATTTCCTACTTATCAGTCAACCAGTAGGCTGCAGGTCCAACCCTTTCCCCACTTCATTTGAAGCAGTCAGGTATTATAATCAGCTTTTACAAAACCTATTTGACTCAGTCAAATACCTTTACCTGGTAAATGAATTACATCATTGTTTTTACCAACCGGTTCCAAATAATAACTTACTCCAATATGTAATGCTCCCATCTTATTTTTATCTGCGAATAATTTCGGCTGTTAAAATGCAATAAATTTTCGCAAGATCTCGCTTAAATATTGTCGCTTTTGAATCAGATGTTACTACACTATAACTTCAATTAGTCATTCAGTTTCGTGGCCCATGAACATTGGTGAACGTCACAAATTGGATCATTTCATTACTTTTTTAGTATCGAAATCAATGTATTCCTAATCCCTATTGCATGTAAAGTTATGTTGTGGCATTACTCAACCCTGAATTTTACGATTTATTAATTCTTAATGATTACATACCCTTGTTTATTGCTCCAGCCCGTTTGCAAAACTTATAAGAAATGACTATGTGATTCCTAACCATGGAAACTCAACTATCTATTCAGCTTACGATCTCACGATCTATCTGAAAGAACAAAAAATAAGTACATATGGATCTATTCACCGAAAGCTGAATAACAAACATCAACTGTCTTACATGACGTGTATATGTTATGATACAAGACTTTGTAAGAGTAAAATCAGTCATTAACTGTGGCATATGCGGAAATAAATAGTCGTCGCAAATGTTTTTGTTTTCACATTTGAAATTATCAGCTTAATTTTTCACATACGTATTCACTTTTTTTCCGCCTAAAATTGTGTAAAATGTGATTGTTGTCAGATTATATGCTGAAAATTCTGTTCTGTACCTACGCCTTTTGTGACGAGGAAGATGATTATTATTTACTAATATTTCAATCAGTGAAGATATTCTTGGTTGGCTTAACATCCGACGAAATGATGTATGCTAAATCACATATCTAAGTGTTTTTTAAGTGCTCTCAGTTATCAGAACTTCGTTATACTTAATCGCACTACCTGGCTTCAATAGCACATTTTGTTGTCAGTAAATATAATCAGTCTTATTGAAGCCGCGTTTATCACCAACTGAAAGTGACCAGTTCAAGCTAGTGCAGAAGTGAAGCGTGCTGGCTGAAAAATTATACAGGTTAACGTTGCAACGATAAAACCAAGAGTATTTCAGACTAATCCGACCACTGTACCTTCTTGCGATACAGGATTCTGCGCTTATTCTATGCCTTATTTCCCTTAAAGTCAAGTTACTTGAATGTCAAATATCTCCTCATACGATTGATATTCATTTATTTTTTTCATTTTAGTTTACTTACTATACTTCAGTGACCCTGGCAGTTATGCAGAGATGCAATAATTCATTTGGTCACAACTTTTTATTTTGAACTCATTGGGTATGTCTCGGGAAAATAAGGAAACTGAGTATATAGATTGGTTGTTTATCAAGCCCATAATGCTTAAGTGTATATCCTTTCGATTTAGTAGTTAAGGTGTTCGACTTTCCGCTGCCAAGTCTCGGATCCGAACCTCATTCCACCTTCAGTTTGGGTGATAGGATAGTATCACTAACACCAAAGTACCCGGTGAATGAGTTAATTGTTATCATCACATCTTTCTGGATACTACTGCTACTATTCATGTCAAAGCACAAGATCTTTGAACTGTATTAATGAAAGTAATTTTCTAGCATTGAATGGTAGCAAATTAGACTCACACTTTTCTTTTTTGTAGCTTATTCAAACCAAATCTCAACGCAGAATCCCGAATGGTCGTATTGCTAGCCGTTCTTCTGCTTTGTACAGGTTAAAATGCAGAACTTCACAGGCTGTGTATGTTAATAAACGACCATATAGGCGTCGTATTCCAAATGTCAATTCTCAGGCAAATACTTCACCACAAACTAACTCTGAGTTTGGTATCATTCCTAATGATGAAAACCCAGTTGAGCAGGTTCAATCGGTCAGTTGTTCCAACAGAACAACAGGTCTTAAACGAAAATACACTCGGCGCTATTCATCTTCAAGATTTTCTTATACTAGAAAACCCAATGCTAGAAGTACGCAGTCCAATTACACTAACTCAATTGTTGATTTTAATAACTTGGTTAAAAAACAGGAAGCATTTGTACGGGCTTTTGCTATCCCAACACACTTGTATAGATATCTTTCCCATCGTCATCGTGATCGTCCGTTATATCTGGACCGTACTCTCAGCTATTTGATGCCAAATCCATCCCGTAAACAGTCGTCTGGTAAGTTAAAATCCCCACTGTATTAGCTTCTTAGGTCTGCATAACAAGTGTGTCTAAAATTTGATTTCAATTTATTTTAATAACCGTAATCAGCAAAGCGACTTGCCAGCTTCGACACTGAATAGCTAATTTCAAAATAAAGGAATAAAATCCTGCTGAATACAAAGTTACGAATCTTTTAGTATATTTAATATGTGGCTAGCAGTGGAATTTAGGAGGCACATTCCCTCCCATTTGAAATTTGTCACCTCGATGTGTCTCCATTCCAGTCTGAATGTTCATATTGAAACTTAAATCCAGTATCTTTCTCTTCAAACACTGACGCGTAATCCACCGATCTACTGAGTTGATGTAACCACGAACTTGTTCAACGAGCTTAAATCTATCACGAAGGGTTTGTAATTTTCCGTTGTTAATACTCAGAAGTAGAACTAATCAATCCTTTTTGCCTGATCTGTTTTCCCAACGAGTTGTCTCTATATAGCCTGTAATTACAAGTTTTAGCATATTTCATATATGGTTAGCGGTGAACGAGTTATCGAGTGATACTACCCTACTGCCTAAACCGAAGTAAATGGAATTTAAACTAGAGACCTGTTTGGTATGAATCCCGAGTCCTTTAACCACAAAATCACCGCCCTCATAAAAGTTATAACTTTCCTCACATTTGTTTTTGGCAAAAAATATGACAACCATAACCATTAAGTATTTCGATCAACTTGTAGTTTATTATTGATCTAGGTTCACGTCGAAGCATAAACAGAATTGTAGAACGTCTAATTGAAAGACGAAAAGATTGCAGACAGAATGATGAATCGAAGGATTCCAGTAAGTACTCAGAATCCATTTCGTCTTCCTCTTCAACGACTCCTGGTGAATTGCCTCAAGAATTAGAACTCGTTTTTGAAGGCTTTTACGATAGTGAAAAAGAAGTGGATTGGGTCACCGTGGACGTAAGTGTATTGTTTTGTGTTGAATAGTATCTCACTTATTGTTGTACAATTCCATTATACAGCGTCGGTTTTTAATTTTTTTAACCATTCATTTAACTTTATAAAAATTCTACCTGGTACACATGTTTATGTAACAAATTCTTCAGTGTTTAAATTAACTGGATAATAAATCTTTTGATATCCTTCAAGTCAATCAGTCAGTCGTTGGCAACACAGAATCTGGCACATATGTATATCGGCCCAAGTTACCCCATCTTATAAGCATAACAAGATGAAACTATAATGACAAATACCAGAGTAATTGAAGTAGTAACAAAAATATCGGTGTTAGTAGCAAAACACATTAGACATTGTCCGCATACTTTGAGAACGAATGAATGAATTCACGGAATAAAACTATGAAATAATTTCAAAAATTCGAAATCTAATGGGTAAAGAGTATTATATGCATCTGCACCATTTAGAGATGCTTCTAAACCATATTAACCAATTCATCTACAAATATTCTGTAAAGAGAGTTAGTTGCTAGCAACGACAACTAGTGATCCTTGCTTCCATTCTTCATACTAATTGTGGATTAAAATAAAATTTATTAGTTTTATGCATACACGTGAGTTTATGACTGAAAAATTTTTTCTAAAATTGAAAGCGAATTATGTAAAACTAAATAGTCTTAGTTTTTTTTAAGCCAATAGTGTTCATCATTGATCACTTTCAAAGTTAAATTCAACAGTTTTCATTCACTGTTCGCGAGTATGAATTTGTGTTTTTATAGTTTTAGTAGTCCTGAGTTAAACAATAATTATTGTGTATTCATACTCTTACTTAAGGAGTGAGTACACTGTTTTACTTTATGGTTGTGTAACGTGGTATTTGAAAGTAGACTTTATTCGTGAATTATTAGTATTTAATTACAAGTATCTTTGAACCGTTACTCACATTGGTGAGGAAATATCGAGTGAGCTTAGATCAGTTAACATAAATAGCAAATCAGTTAATAAAGCTTTGAATCAATTTTTATATTGATGAACTAATCAACTTCTATCGACATGTATTCTCGTAATAGACACCTCTATAATATCTATGTACTATCTCTCCATTGGTCAACAGGATAAATTAACCAAAATGCCTAGATTTATTCATTTCATTTAAAATGTTAAAAACATGGATAGGGTGAAATTTAAAGCTGTTGGGTGGTTTAGCAATTCGAAAAAAGCTCAACGCTTGTGATTATAATGAGAATTATAAATTGTTGCACATAATCTCTACGTAATAAAGTCGAACAATTAAAGGGCATATGGTCTTAGAATGTATACAGTAAAATTAAACTACACACACTCAATTATCCAAACTGAACTAAAATTTCTTTATTTATTGGTAGTATCAGAAAGGTTTTGTATAATTAATGAATAGCTTTTACTAGTAATTGACATTAATAAGCCATTCAGAAGTATTTACCACAAAACAGTTATTTTATCACTTCCTAGTTCAAGTTTAGTTTTTTACAAGTGGTTTGAACAAAAATTTGTTTTAATTATATATAGTGAAATGATAAGGCATGCTCATATAAATTCGTTATTGACCTTGTTCGTATTGTCTTTTTGTTGGTTAAATCGTAGCAGAAATGCAATTGGGGTAGTTTGTCTTAAAGTGATGAAATCATATCACATTCACACCATTTTATCATCGCATCCAGTGCTGGTTTCCATTTTTTATGTAATTACTTAAGTTGCTTAAGCCTGTTACTCATGTCACTATAAGGTAATCATGTATTTAAGTGACTTAGTTTTAAAATAGTCAAATAACGACATCTTAACCTTTTAAAATCTAAGCCACTATATTACATTGTTTGATGTTGAAAAAAACTAGTTGTACTGTGCTTTCGGATATTAACACTAGCTCTCACACAAACTCTGACTTAAAGCCAAGTATATACGTGTCAACCATGTGTACCTGTTGTGACTGGCAGATTCAATTTAAATAGGTAAATGAAGTCCAGTGAGAAGTTAACTATGTAATTCTTCCAGGACTCCGTCTGTAGCCCTTCTGGGGTTACTGTCGGTCCCAATCCCGGATAGAAGTGGAGGGTAGGGCATGTAGTCAGCAACCCTATCCCGTAGAAAACAGCTTTGTTAAAAAAGGCTAGTCAGAATAAATAATCGAAACCATTTAAACTGTCCTGGAAGTTAAAGTATCTTATTTAGAAGAATTATGACATCTAATGGTGAAAGTAGAACTTCATCGAAAGTAACGAGGCCGATGGCCCTTTTAATAACCAGAGCAACAATTAATATAGGTACATGAAATGTCCGGGCATTATAGGAGACCGGAGGACCCGTCATATAACTGCGGAAATGAGATATAACATGGCATACACAAAGCTACATGGGTCTCACCGAATCGCACTACAGAGAACCAGATCGATCATATTTGCATCAGTAAAAAATTCAGAAGGTCAATGGAAGACGTGAGAACCAAACGTGAAGCTAACATAGCTTCTGATCACTACCTGGTGGTTGCCAAGATGAAACTGAAGCTAGAGAAACACTGAAAAACTCAACGAATTCTAGATATTTCTCAGCAATAATTTCCAAACCTTACGAGATCTATTCATTCAAAGAAGAAACTACTGTGGATAACAATTGGAAAGGGATCGAAGAATCACTAACTTCAATGAGCCGGGTGGTGCTGGAACAATAAATACAGAAGCACCATCATGAAGAATGGATCTCTACCGATACTTTGGGCAAGATTTAACAATGGAAAGAGTGACAGCAATTAAAAGCAGCCGAACAAGAGCAGAGAAATTCAATGCACAGAATCAAACATGAGAATGAAGAGGAGCATTAGAGCCAAAAAGCAGAAATATGTGGATGACCAAGCAGTGACAGCGGGAAACTCTGCAAGCGAGGGAAATATCCAACAACTATATGATAGAACGAAAAAAACTGGCAAGGGAATACAGTAAATCAACAAGCAGAAGGGAAGAAGCAAAGTCCTAAAATACAACTCAGAAATCACTAGTCCAATCACGCTTGATGGAGAAGCTCTAGAAGAAGTGGAAATTTTTACGTACCTGAGCAGCATCATCGATAAACAAGGAATATATGATGCATATGTAAAGTCGCGGATTAGCAAAGCGATGGCAGCATTCCTACAAGTAAATAATATAAGGAACTCAAAAGAGTTGTCAGCCAACATCAAAACCAGAATTTTCAGTACGAACGTCAAGACGATTCTATAGTACTGAGCTGAAACGTTGAGGACCACAGCCATCATCAAAAAAGTGCAGGTATTTATAAACGATCGTCTACTCAAGATACTTCAGACCTGTTGGCCGAATACTATCACTAACAGTCTACTGTGGTAGAAAACAAACTAGGCTCCAGCTGAAGGGGAAACAACACTAAAAGTTGATAGGTCACACTTCATGAAAATCGTCAAACTGCGTCATGACACGAGGTGATCTCTAACTTGGAATTCTTAAGGGAACAGGAAAACTGAGTAACACATTGTGTCGGGAATTGAAGGCAGACGTCGAAAGAATGCGTATCAATTGAAAACAGCTGAGAAGGAGAGTCTAGAACAGAGTTGGTTGGAGCATCCTGGTCGGTAGCCTATGCTCTCGCGAGGGTTAACAGTCGTAAGTTCAAAACTACATTCTAGCAAATAGATCATGTTAGCCGTTTGCCGGTTCTTGATACCAAATTCATACTTAGAGATGTATATTGTTTGGCTTGGTAATTCATCATTATCCACCGTATATTTCACCCAGATATGTCACGTTGTTATCAGCCATTGTTGGATAGGGTCGATAACGGGCTAAAGCTCATATCCGTGCTTTTATGTTGTTGTTGAAGTATTACAAGTTTTTTATGATGTTGAAAGAAAAATCGCGAGTATGCAAAGTGTTGGCATAACTCAATCCTCATACAAAACTAAACATTACATTTTTATCTAAAAATGTAATTTGTATTAGTATTCTTATGAAATTATTCTAGTTGTATAGTAGCATAGTTTGCAATGCTGCCTTATTATATATATTGGAATATATTGCATAAACAATTTCCCACATTTTTTTAAAATTAAGGCTTCTGTTAATGTTCATTTACGCTTTGGATGGGCATGGCGCCGTAAAATATGCCCAGATGATACAATTTTAAATATAACGCCAAATCCAATTCGAATAAATTGTTACAGTCATTCAACTGGCTACACTTCCCTAGTTAACTCACCACCTACTTCTAATAATGATAATATTATTACTGCTACTACAAATACGACCCATACCGCTTGTCGTTTCTCTTTAACCGATCTAATTAATCAAGTTAAATGGAATACATCTAGTGGTCGTTTAACATCTGCTCAATTGGAGTTACATGTTTCCGCCACTGAACGACGTTGGTTAAAACGTCCCGATTTAAGTCATGGAGCAGTTAGTTTGAATGGAATTACTCCAAACATTTCAAACAACTTAACAAATCATATTGTTAATCATATAGACCATAACAATAATAGTAATAATAACCTATCCCAAAATTTGTCTAAAAGTGTTCATACTGATGGGAAAAACAACAACAGCCATGTAACATTTATCAATGGTAATCCATTGCGTAAAGGTGGTTTAAGTTCAAATTCCTATCCAGTTCAATATGCTACAGCTCCATTACCTTTGATCGTATCTTCAATTGGTTTCGGTAAGTTATTAAAACTAATTTTATTATGTCAAATCATCTCGTTATATTTTAATTTTAATTTATAATAATACAAAGTTTCTTGCTACGTTTAGGTTTTTTTTACTCTAATGTTTTACTTGTCATTCTTTCAATGCCTAATATTTCTCAATATAATTGATACTACATTATTTCAACTCGTTTACTATTCATTTTGTTAACATCATCTCATTGTGCTAATGTGATATGACAATTTCGGCCAACATGTATATGAATTCATTATATTAAGGAAAGAATCGTATTTCTCACCGCTCTGTTGCTGCTGCACTAATATAAAGCTTTTTTGTTCTATGCTATCTTATCACTAACAGAGATCGAACTAAGTTTTAAAGAGAATACAGTATTGTGAAACTAGTAAACTACTGTGTTCATACGCTAAGCTACTCTTTCGTAAATCCAATTTCGATACAGTAAAAAACACTACTTCTATCCTCTTCTATGTCTCCGCTTATTAGAGTCAGAAGTCTAGTTCTGTGTAGAAGTTTTGTTGATATGAACCCTCAGATGAATCAAAAATACACTTAACCAATTACACGTTATTACTATATAATAAGACTAATAAGTCTTATCTATGCATTTGTTAATTAGGGTAATCCAAATAGTTTATTGAGTGTTGTTAGTCTTATACCTAACATTTTTATTTCTCAGTAAATTGGTAACATCTTTAGTTTATTCTCAAGTGGTCGTTTTGTCTGTCGAAGAAAAGTAATTACGAACTATAAAAACAGCGGGTTGGGGTGAATGATTAGAACTTTTGGATATTAAGCTCCAACTTAAGAAAATGATGAATGGACGCGTCTATGTCGATGCCACTGGTTTCAAGTAGTGTAACCTCAAGTATGCAATCATTGATTGTGATTATTTCACGAAACCTAAATATAAATCCAATGATTCATGGGACTGTGCGATGCAGTAGATGGTAGCTTCGTAAGCTGACGGTTTGATATCTTGCTCCGGGGTTACATATGGTAGGTGTTATGTCCTTCAACCACGTACAAGACTCAACTGTATCTACTTAACTGACCTCGCATATTTGGTATTACAACTGTGAATCATACTGTTTGTATATTTGAGTGTTTAGTTTTCAATTCTCGTGTACTTCACAAGAGTGAAATTTTAAAATAGCATTAAGTTTGGAAACGAAATATATATTCTCCTGTCGGATTTTGATTGACAATCTCATATTCCCTATCCGATCAAGTTGCTTAGTGAAACGTAGAAAGATCACAACAGTTTAATTATTGAGTACGGTTCTTGTGATCTCAATTTAGAAATAAACAAGTTCTTCAGGTAGCTTTTACACTCTGAATTAATTTTGACTGATTTATGAGCTATATTAATCAGTGGTCATCATTCTCAGTTGGTTTGCAGTTGATATTCAACTCGTTATTGTTGATTCTTGAGATGAGACAGTGCTATTGCATACTGATTATTGACGTGAATATTGAAATAGAGCCTGATAAGAACCCAATAATTAATGTTAATTGTTCTTTTGCAGACGCACATTCTCGCTGCTAAAAAGCCTTATTGACGAGTTCCAGCTAACATCAAAACCCCTAGGTCCAGTGCTCATTGTCGCGATTCCCTACAACCCCTCAACACTGAACAAAGCTCACCACGATTTCGAGTTTTCTCCAGACTAGTAACTATTGCCACTTGATCTGTAGAACTCAGCAATTAGGACTGAATTAAATGAGACTTCGTTATTATTGTGTTATTAATCATTATGTAAATCTTTCTTACAAGAGGTCAGTCGCAGCTCGGATATCACCTGGTGGTGACATTTGTCTGTAGCATGTGTTGGAAGCCTACGGGTAACAGTCTCTGAGACTACAGATAGGGCTTGTTAATAAGTCATGACCAACCTGAAATCTCCAGGTTCAGGGCTTCCTGTAGCTCATATCTTATCATCTAATGCTTGAATTTATTTTTTTTCAACTCATTTACCAGATAGAGAATTGTACACTTGGCTTCGAGCCACACTAAATATGAAGGCTAGTGATGCTACCCGGTTACCCAGATCGGAGTAGGCGGGACGGGGTTCAAACATGCGACCACTGAGCCACCTCTCCACACACTTTGATATTACGTAGATATTCAAGAACCGGTCAGTCACCTAGATTTTCTAAAATATATGTAAATACAGATGGGTGTAACGATGCTAAATCAGGCTTGAAACATGTTCTGACTGTATAACCTGCAGAGTTCAACACTATGTTGCTTACAGTTTCGTGTTGATATTCGTTTACCCCCGCTTCGTTGTTTATATAATGAAACAATAATTAATATTTTTATATCCATCTATTATAGTAGATTTTAATTTTTCATTTCTGTGTTTCGAAAAAAATGGTATAGATAGTACCAGTACCGGTCGTCAATTGCTTCTGACTCCTGGTTTATATGAATTACGCCTTGGTGTAGACACGTCCGACGGCAATGGTAGTAGTGGTGGAGTGATGAATAAAGTTGTGCCATTAAAATGTTTAGATGACAATGTAAGTGAAAAGTCATATGTTTCGGCTAACAACGACCAAGCAAGTGACACGTGCTCTAGTCAAGTTGAATGGAGGCGCATTCGGTTTCCTAATTCTTCCACGGCACTAGACGAGTATTCTCGATGGCCTCGTCTTCGGTTTTCTGTCATATGGCATAATAAATTGGAAAATAATCACATCATTTCACCTTGTAGATCGATGGAAACTCGAAGACAAGATAATACCCATGTACATATGGAGGGTCGATCCTCTCTTACACGTTCCATGACAAGTTCTCATAATCGAGATGTAATGAAGTCTCAAAATCAGTCTGCCACACCGCATAAACAAATAGTTTTGAAGGAGTCTTGTGATTCTTCTGTATTCAAAGATTCAACCGGTTTAGATAAATGTCTCTCTAATCGTGTACAACAAAGTCTCTCTGCTCATTTTGGACCAGACGTTGATAAGCCCACGTCTACGAAGACGCCACACTTAATTCATCCAATCACATACGGTTTTGTATTCGGGGGTAATTTACAACAATGGTCTCAGTCCACTGATCTTGTTTGTCCATGGTGCCACTTAGATTGTGCTCGTGCTGGTGATAAAGGTCCTGAAGCCTTGATTCTTCATCTTCGAACTTGTCATCCAAGATTTCGTCTCAAGGTTATATGGGATCCATCACATACACAGTTAAGCCTACAAGTTTCATTAAATGAAGCATATGACGGTTCAAATGATTGTGGTATACGTAGATGGTGTCCGAGCGGTCGGAATATTTTCGTTTTACGACATCATGTCATTCCATCATCTGGTCAGTTAGTCGGTAGTTGTGCTGCCCTAGGTATAAATAGTAATGCCAAACAGTCAGGTAATCAAGGTCGTCATTCTATTTCTCCAACTCTGATTGATGCCACTGTTCGAATTCGTTGTCCTGTTCGACGATTGCCGTACACACATTTGATATTTTGGCGTGGTGCTGAATTATCAACTGATCAGGTCAGTAATGGGCCTTTCTGTATAATTTTATTATTTTTCTATAGATTCCTTTGAAACTATGTTGATAGTGCATGAAAAATAGACTATTATTATTATTATTGATTTCTCTGAAAAAATATGTGTATTAATCCAGCTGTGCTACTAAAACCAAACATTAGTCGACGAAATAACCTGTTACTAATTGGGCTATCAAATGAGTAGTATTGTATTCCTATGCTCTTCTCACAAAAATTTAAATAACAAATTTGTGTGAATCCAAGTGATGTACAGCTAACTCAGAAGTCCACCACAATCAATTAGTCATGTGCAACTTAGAACCTAATACTTATGTGCATCGGTTTAAGTTGTAATACCACATAAGCACAATAAGATAAAATTATCGAGACTTACTTCAGAGCAGTAGAATTAGAAACAGTATCAGTAGTCGTAGAAAATATTAGGTGCAGAAAAATAAAAAAATAAAGTATAGGAAGATTTCGGGAAGCAGGTTTTGAGGGAAGATAGAATGAATGCACCTGTTTTATTGCAAACAGTTCTTAGCCATATCACCCGAAGTCTATAGCCATTAATTACGATAATTAGACCGATTCCAATTAGGTTGTTTGCACTTATTAACATGTCTCAGACCAGTTATCAGTGACTTCACAAACTGGTGCCACGTCTTGGTTTAGACTCCCCTATCTTTGTTCCAGCCTACTCTTAAATCAGCAAACATCTCGCATTAAGGCAGGTGTTAATTAAAAATACGCAATGCATGTCCCCACTACCTCAGTTTATAACTTACCACATCAATCCATTCGCCATTTTTTCGTTGTACTATATGCCTAACCTCAATATTTCTAACTCAATGGTCCCAAAATACGCTAGCGATGCTTTGTAGGCATCTAAGATTAGACACTAGTAACCTATGAATATCCTCTATTCTTATTGGTCGTGCCTCATAACCATAAAGTAGAACTACTGTGTAGTAACTTTGTCATGTGATTGGCAGATGATTATCTCGCTCACATCAAAAGTGACTTTAGTTGGTCAAAGGCGACCGATATTTTTCAATCCACGCCGAGATTTCCCCTGACACTATCCCATCAGGGGTGAGAGACTCCCACGATAAGTGAAGCGGTCGGCTCACTCAACCACTTCACTCCCTGTCATTAGCTTAGATTTTGATGCAGTTGAGTCCTGAAACATTTTGAGTTTAGAGGTAGAGAATCACATCTCAAACATGCTTACACTTTTGCTTAAGACCATTAGAAGACCCTACATTTAATCAGCTCTTCTCCAAATACGACTATCATCTGCATATTTTAAGTTAAGAAGTGAGCATCCGGTAAGGAGATCAACCGCTGGAAAGCTAAATATGGGAAGTATTATTTCTAGGAGAACATCTACAACGAAGTTTAATGAAGATGGAGAAATTAGGTAGCCCTAACGAACGCTACGAGGTTGAAAATTCTGTTAACAGTTCACCATAACCTCTGACTCCACTGAGAATGTTCAAGTAGAAAGCCTGTACAAAGTTGATATACTCATTTGGTACGCTTCTTAATGACGGACGCTAACACAGAATTTCTCAATCAACAGGGTTGGATGCTGCCTTAAGGTTAAAAAATACAATAATAGTCAAACTTCAAGAAGTACGTTCATGTTCCAGAGTCTAACTAAGGGCGAACATTAGGCTGATACATCCACACCGAGGTCAGAAACTGGCCTGATTTTCTCATCTGAGCGTAATTGCAACAGACGGTCGCCATTGTGTTCACCGAGCTGCAACTCCGTAAGATATACAGAAGTACCTTTCGGCTTGGTTTACTCTACATTCTTGGGCATTATAACCACCAGACACTATTACATCCGAGAGTTTAACTTTTCGAAAGAGGTTTGAAAGCTTCATATAAAACTCATATTACGCTTTATTCCAGCCTCAACTAGTGGAAGCGTAGATAGAGATAACGAATAGGCAACGGCGTCTGTCTCGATCTCTCTGAGTCCTTACAGTTCCGTTTAATCTGACTGTACAAGCAACTGTCCACTGGAATGCGTGATGATAAAGATATGCGCAAACGGTTAGTCGTGGGATAGGAGAGTCAATACTAGGTGATGAAGGGATTTGATCGTGACCGTTGTTGCTACCTTGACGTGGTGGTCGGGCTTGCCTATCATGATGAAGCAATCGAGCTATACTGGCTGGAACAACTGTTCCTCAAGGTCCTACCATGTCAGACAGGTCGGCTGAAGAGCGGTAAGACTAAAAGCAACAAACCCAAGGTCCGAAGGCGAAGTCGTACTGCTGACTGTACAGAGGTGTGACAGCAGTAAGGTGTTTCCTTCAGACAACCAGCATGACAGCGATGCTGCCTTCCCACAAGAAGGGATGGGGTTAGAAAAGGTCGACTCTAAAAATGCACACCTCGCCTTATCCCACGGATATCCGTCTCCGGCGGTAAGGTCCCAAAAAGTACGGAGCTAACACAAAAATTACCCATAAAAAGGTCGTGTGTGGCCGACCTCAAGCAGTTGTTCCTTGGGCACTGCGGTCACGCTCTCAGGTCACTAAGACCACCTCTAATCCAATTTCCTTTTCAGGTACCTCCAGAACAACCCTTCCACGGTGTGGACAACCAGGAAGTGATAACCGCCCTCATACCTCTAACAGCACTCAAGACCACTGTATTCCTAATCAACCTCCGTCTTCACTTCCTATTACTCCTCCTACATCGACTTCCACCTCTAAACTTCCTTTTTCGGCTTCTTCCTCAAATGTCACCATAGCCAACGATTCTAGTGCTCAAAACACTGTCCCAGGTCTACTGAAACCTCGCTCCAAACTACACATTGGAGCCTTCAACGTACGCACCCTATGTCAAATCGGTCAACAGGCTTCCTTGGCTAGAACCCTAGAATCTCGTACCATTGATGTATGCTGTGTCTCTGAAACACGCATACAGGATCCCAGTGTGGTCATTCACTTGACCTCACCTCGGCAACACGGAGAGCTAACGAGATACACACTCCGTTTATCTGGTGACGCGATGGCCAGCCCTCGTGGACTGGCAGGAGTAGGGATAGTACTAAGCATGAGGGTGGAACAAGCACTGTTAGAGTGGATCTCCGTCAACAGTCGTCTATGTGCTGTTCGGCTAAACGGCTCCGTAAGAACTCGGAAGGATAGGGACACACGTCGTTGCCTTTTTGTCGTTTCTGCCTACGCTCCCACTGACTGCAGCTCAGATGAAGTGAAAGATGAATTTTACAGAAAGCTATCTGAACTTCTTCAGAAAGCTAAACGTTCAGACATAGTACTCGTAGCAGGTGACTTTAATGCCCAGATAGGTAGTTTAAACCAAACAGATTGTCGCTCATTCTGGAGTACCTGCTTGGACTCCGACCATGCTCTAATACGGGCACGCATCTGCTTGCCCCTCATTGGACTCAAAAAAGCCAAAGTAAAATGACCCATTAGAACTGAATTGAGTAGCGAGAAAACCAAAAGTAGGTTCCAGGAACAACTGAGGTCACACTTAGGTAGTTCTGAGAACGAGGCTGACCCAGATGTTGCTTGGAAAGATATACAAGCAGCTGTGGAAACAGCAGTGACATCTATCAGTGATTTAAACCACAGGGTTACAAAGAACCAATGGATTTCCTCTAGGTATATTGCACTGATGGATTCTCGTAAACTCACCCCATCAGGCTCTGAACACGATGAAGAGCGACAACAAATCAGATCTAGGTTAAGCAAAAGTCTAAGAAACGACGGTGAGCAGTGGTGTGCAACGAAAGCAAAAGAGATGGAAAAGGCGGCGACTATAGGGAACACAAGACAGCTCTACAGACTAATAAAATAAACTGGAACTACGAAGTCGAGTATAAGTCAGACTACTTCGGAAAAAGACGACACCATCATCTGCTCTCAGTCCAGACGTTTAGAACGATGGGCGGAACATTTCAGAGAACAGTTCAGCTGGCCTCAGCTACTCTACAACTACCCTCTATTCCCAGACAGTGTGAATGGAACTTTGAAGTAGGTCCCCCAACTCTAGCAGAAGTTCAAAAGGCTAGAGTTAATCTGAAACGAGGAAGGGCAGCTGGTCCAGATGGATTGGCTCCAGAAGTCTTTAAGGATAGTGGTCCAATTTTAGCGATTAGGTTGACTAATATTTTAGCTAAGATCTGGGAGTTAGACGTTATTCCATCTGACTGGTCACAATCACTTATCGTCCCAATATATAAGAGGGGGTCAAAATCATCCTGTGACAACCATAGAGGGATTAGTTTAACTAATATAGTATTTAAAATATTGGCCTCGATAATTATCAGACGCTTATCTAAGACTCGTGAACTGCAAACACGAGAGAATCAAGCTGGCTTCAGACCTGGTCGTGGCTGTATCGACCACATACTCACCATTCGTCAGGTTCTAGAACATAGGCACACTTATCGGCGTCCGACAATCGTGGTCTTTCTTGACTTGAAAGCAGCATTTGACTCGGTAGACCGCGAGATTCTGTGGCAGTGTCTGTCATTGAAAGGCGTACCTCAGAAGTACATAAACCTTGTGAAGGCTCTTTACTCGAACACTACCAATCGAGTCAGAGCTTATGGCGAACTGTCATCTGCTTTTTCAACCTCAAGTGGTGTCCGTCAAGGCTGTCCACTTTCTCCATTTTTGTTTAACTTCATCATAGACTCGTCTACTGAATTCTTGGGTATTGATCTCCTTCCATGAGGTCCACTTATCGACTTAGAATACGCGGATGACATAGTCCTGTTTGGTGAAGACGCTGATAGAATGCAGAGTCTTTTGATAGCACTAAGCAACAATGCCAGAATGTTTGGAATGCGCTTCTCTCCCTCTAAATGCAAGTTGTTGCTTCAGGACTGGTCTGCGTCAACACCTGAACTAAGGATAGGGAGTGAAGTAGTCGAACGCGTTGACAACTTCACTTATCTTGGAAGTCTGATCAGCCCTAATGGGTTGGTGTCTGACGAAATCTCAGTACGGATTCGAAAAGCTCGTTTGGCCTTTGCCAACTTACGTCACCCATGGCGAAGGCGAGATATCCGTCTATCAATAAAAGGACGAGTACACTGCGCGGCAGTCCGTTCTGTGTTAATTTACGGCAGCGAAACATGGTCATTAAGAGTAGAAGACACTCGTAAGCTACCAGTACTTGACCACAGATGCCTTAGAAATATTGCTGGGATCACCGGGTAAGTAATAGTGAGGTTAGACGCAGATTAAGAGTAGAAGACACTCGTAAGCTACCAGTACTTGACCACAGATGCCTTAGAAATATTGCTGGGATCACCGGGTAAGTAATAGTGAGGTTAGACGCAGAGTATCAGGGAATGATGGTAAATCAGTTGATGAGGTTGTGAATCTTCATCGACTGAGATGGTTGGGCCACGTGTTACGTATGCCTGAACACCGATTACCACGTCGTGCAATGCTGACCGGTGTTGAGGATGGTTGGAAGAAAGTTAGGGGCGGCCAAACCAAAACGTGGCATCAGTGCTTGAAGTCACTAACTTCTAGTCTGAGCCACGTTGGTAGATGCAGACTACTTGGTTGGGGTCCGCGTGACTTTCGTAACCAATGGTTGGAGACCCTTGGTGACATGGCTCTGAATCGATCACAATGGCGTAGGTGTATACACACTCTGTTTTCCCTTAAACTAAGAGTTTAAAATCACTTCATATCTTTCTTTCTACGAACTAATTCTTTCTTCCTGTACTATATCCTTATTGCAATCTTTCTTTTATATATTACCACCTTTGACCTAATCACTGCTATGAATCCGGTGTTCATCTTGTTGTGCTGATGCGGTATGGCGACCTGGACCGATGCACATATGTGCCTGGTCCTACGCTGTAGTTGACTGACTAATCTCTGGCTCTGTTAGAGGTGTGGGAGCGGTTGTGACTTCCTGACTGCTCACACCGCGGAAGGATGTTTCTTCTTGAGAGATCTGAAGAAAAAGTTGGGTTAGTGGTGGTCTTAGTGGCCTGGGAGCATTATCACATAGCCCAAGAGAAAAATGTTTGAGATCGGCCGTCCATGGTCTCTTTATGGGAGGTTTTTGATTTATTAGCTCCGTACTTCAAAAGCCCTTACTATCCGAGACAGAAATCCGTGGGGTAAGATGACGTGTGACATATCAGGGTTAATCTTTTCTAGCCTCTTTTTTCCTTTGTGAGAAGACAGCATCGCTGCAGATGCTAGTTTTTAGAGGAAAACACCTTGCTGCCGTCACACCCTTCTACACTCAGTAGTACAATTCTACATTAGGTTAGTGCTTTAATACTCACCGTTCCTCAACCAACCTGCCTGTCATGATTGGACCTCGAGAAAGAATTGTTTCAGATAATATAGTTTGATTGGGACTTCGCGATGAGCAAGCCCAGCCACCACGTCAAGGTAGGAGCTACAGTCGGGAATCATAGATATTAAATATATTTTATAACTTTCTCCGAGTGAACTTTAGTGTTCCTCACTACTGTTAAATGACTCTCAATTTAAACTATGAATATGCACTCATGTATTCAGCTTCATGTTCGGTTTATGTGTACTTTTTAGTTTCGGTTCTCTCGTGTTCCAAGTCCAGGGTTTCTTAGCTCATGGTAGCCGGTGACCAAGAATATGTCCATACGCCCTTTGTTCCCTCAGGATCCTGGAACCCATGTGCACATTTGGTGTGGAAACAGGGTTTTCCGACTCTCCTTTGTGGACCTTCCGTATCCACCAACCCGAATAAAGCACCGGACATTTACGTTTCATCCTCTCAACTTCGTAAACAACACCCGCCACAAAAAGGCAGTGGGTAGGACTTCACTGGTAGTGGTTGTATTCGCATGTCTATGTGAGAGGATTTTGAGAGGGAGAGCTGACTCCCCTTTCTTAGTATTTGAGAGCAACCTGTTATCCTACATAAAATGTCATTGTCTTCATGTAATTGATTATCGGTGTATCGTACTGATACCCTCATAACTTAAAAAAGTTAGCGACTATATATCTGGGCTCATTAGTAGGTTACTGAATCACCACAGGCACTGGTTTTGAGTTTCAGTGTGAGCATCTACACGGATCTGTGTGAATAGAGCTGATGAGCCCCACGTAAGACGAAACCTGCACTCTGGATTCCATTACTAGCTAAATCCATACTAAATATACTAAAGCTCTTAATAAGAACAAATCCTGACAGGTTGGCCAATCGCAGTCCCCAAATACCAAAACATCGCGAAATTATTGATCCGTACCAAAAAATTCTCGTGTCAACACCGATTGCATCAACATATTTCTTATTTATATTGTTTTAATCAGGCCAATTTCCATAAAGTTTATTATTCTGTTACTGTCTAAAACAATACCTGTGCTATTTCTCGTCTTTTAGTGTTCGTAATTTAATGTTTTTTTCTTTGTTTTTCGCTTGCTTATTCCCGCACACACCTAGTTACTTGATCCTACATTATCGGTACGACCTATGGTCACTGGACATAATCGTATTTATTATCATACACGTACATCCCAGCCTGTTCGTGCTTGTGAATTTGATGTGGACTCTGAAGCGGAAGATGCTCCAGTCTGGCTTCGTCAACATTATCAACGTAAAGTGGAGGAGTTCACCGATGTGAATCCGGTCAGTGTTTTTTCTCACTTCCTTTCTATGTACTTTCAAAGCGTTTTCTGCCTAATACCATCGTAATAAATCTATATTAGACAGAAAATGAGGAGACACACTGCTATTGTTAAGTCATTCTGGACTGTTGATATTATTTTTTTTGTATAGCTTGGTATGAATTTATGACTACCTTGTCACAATAATTGTTCTATTGTCTTCTTGTCTGTATAGAATTTGAGATAACTGTAATATAAGTACAAAGCACTAACAAATTTTCACGCCAAGAATTTTATTATTTTAGCACAGTGTGTGTTGTTGTGATGCAAACGAATCTAATGTGTATTTGATATATTTTAATTGTGGTTAGATGCGTCATCAAATTTCAGAACTGGATAACAACAGCGCCTATTTCATTTAAAAGTGAGCTCAGTTATTCCACAACTATTAAATCGATTGGCTCTGATGCATTTGGTTGTCTTCATTTTTCCTGTTATTTGAGTTGACTATCTTGTTCGCTTAATCTGTCACCATATGTTTGATCAATGCTTCAGATTCGGATACAGAGATTTAAAGTAGCAGTTAAGCGAAGCTATGTTTATCACTGATATCAGTGCACGTAGACAATCACATATGAATTCAATTGGGCCAACCTCAGAATTGTGGACCAAGAGATTTCTAAGGCCAGTTTATTTCTAAAAGTATGATATTCATATCAATTGACTTATGTATTCATTCTGTCAATCTTTTTGAAAAGGATTGACCAAGTACACATGGTTAGTGATCAGCTGATTGAGGCAGTCAACTTGATTACAATGGTAAATGATGGCTACGAACACATACAAATCTCAAACAAGAATATCAAAACCAACTACTTTAAACGTTATGAAATAACTGAGAAGCTCACTTTTATATGAATGGCAGCAAAAAACTGCAATTCAAACCATCTCATTCAGCTAACTCAACAACACTAAAATTGTTCACTTGAACTGTATATAGTCACTATCATTTCGATATTGTCTGTTAGTGATAGTGATATAAATTGTTCGATGAATTATTATTTGTTTATATCCTAGTTCTAAATCGTTTATGCAAAAACTATTGCTGGATATTCAAGCAATAATTTGATGAACCCTTTCAAAATATTTAAATTGTAAATTGATTTGAGAAAAACTTGTGTGAATTTTTCTAATCCAAATCTCATTGTTAGTTAAATGTGGAATTCTTTATTCCACTCTTATATTGTTTATTTATTTATTTATTCAGGGTGAAAAACAAATTATGCAATTGTGGAATGCTTTACTACTATCAATTCGTCCATCCGGTTTAGTAGTTTGTGACAGTCAAGTATTAACGTTAGTCTGTCAATTTATACATCAGCATAGTCGATGGATTCATAGACGACGTCTACGTACTAACCTATTGTTACATTTAGTGAATCTTGTTGATTATGGCTTATTATCATCTAGTCAATTGCGTCAATTAATGTTAATTCATGATAAACATGTACAAGAATTAAATCCAATCAACAATACATCAGTGATTAATAATCACATGATTAATACACAACCATTATCATCTCCATCGAACGCTTCAACAACATCTTTCTTACCCGACTCTAAATTAGTTAATCATCATATTAATAAGTCACAACCAATTATGCCACGTCTTCTTCAGATGTTCTCTTCAACATCTAATTCATAGTGCAAAAAAATTCAATGCTGCTTACACTCTTGTTTCCCAATTTGTATACTCTTCCCTTCTATGTATGTATGTAAGTATGTATGTATGTATGTATGTATGTATGTGTCCGTGACGTTAATACTTAGAATAGTTCGAGAGACGGATGTGTGTATGTATGTGAATCGATGCATTTTTTTATTTACAGATGTTTCCGTATAGGCCAAATAAATTGTTTTTTGGATTTTTAATTTTCTTTTTTTTACAATGAAATCACACAAAACAGTAATTATCTTTACACAATAAGTATGTCTATGTGTACGTTTCTTCTCTCCTTAGAATTATGCTCAATTTTTTCTCCACTTTTCATCTTTCCTGTGTGTTTTGTGTAGTTATTCAGTCGTGTAAAACCTCAACATCATTTTGATTGTTTTGTATTTTTACAAAAAAGAATTTCTAGATTTTACAAATTCCCAGGGTCTATATGTTTGTCTATAAACTTACGTACATACAACTATATGTAATTATTAACGATAATGTGACCGTTTTAATTTTATATGCTATTTGTATTTCTGTAGTGTATACAAGTGTTCCTTCCACTCCCCCTTCATTGTTGTTCATTTATTGAATATCACTTTTTCCATTCAACAACTAACTATCCTCAGGGGACGTTCATCAGCTTGGTTCCTGGTAGTGTTTTTGGTTCTTTCTGCTCTTTCATTATAATATATATGTGTGTGCTTTCTATTCAATTATAATCTGTCTTTTCTAGCCTGTTCGTGTGCATGTATACACATATGTTTGTGTCATGCATATTATTTCGTCAATTGTAATAACAAAACCCTAAAAGTCTGTGCCTTCTTCATATTGATGATGAATTTCTAAAAAAATGATGAAGAGCAGTCTCATATTATCATTATCACTAGTATTATTATTATTATTACTATTAATAGAATTATTCTTATTAAATTGTGTTTTCACGAATACAAATGTATGTATGTTTGTATAGGTATTCAACAACTTTCTTGTATATTACAATTGTTTATCTGTTCAATTATGATTGTTTTCTACTCTCATGTATAATTCAACTGTGAGGTGAAATGTGTAATGTAAAGAAGATAAGCGTAAAAATAGTCAAGTTCAAATGCTCATTTATATTGACAAGTGAAAGTAATGTAATTACTATTATTATTATTATTCTCTAGGTAGGATTTTTATTGTCCATTTATGGTTATTATGACTACTATTATTTTTAATTTTTTTAGTAAGGTATCTTCGTTTTTTTCCTGCTCTGAAATTATCAGAAGTGCAAAATATAGTTTAATGAATGACTGACTTGTTTAGTCGTATTTTTCTCCTGTCTAATTCAATGAACAATGTATATTATTATATCATCAAAAATATTTTTCTATTACTACTATTATGTAATAACCGGTCACTGTCCTCGTTGTTGTTGTTGTTGTTTTCGCTGTTGTTATGATTAACTCAGGCTGGTTTGTGTTTCGCACATATTATGATTGATCTTATCACTTTTTCTACTTCTACTCGACAACTATTAGTTCAATTAAATTTTTTCCGACTTAACATGTAGCTATGATTTTCTCTCTCTGTGTGTATGTACGTTTTCCTTAGTATACAGGATGAATTTATTTTCGTCTCGATTAGATTTTGGTCTCGAATCCCTTATTTTGGTTTGCTTATTTAGTTTGACTATTCCAGATGATGACGACGCGTTTCATTCTTTGTGTTTGTGTGTGTGTATGTTTTAGGAGTATTTATTTGTCTCCCTGTCCCTCATCCCTCTACTTATGATTATAGGAGTTTTTTGTGGCGCATTGAATTGTGCGAACACTTATTCTTGTATGATTTGTTAATTAATTTTGTCCTATGTACTTAGGATTTATACATGTAATACGTATTAGCTTTAATTGTCATTTAAACAACTGATGAGTAAATTTTTCTACATACACATATATACTTAAATATTTATTTACTGTAATGCCATCTTCATGTTTGTATGTGTTTTCTACATTCTATTCTCATTTCTTTCTTTTTCATACAATCATCTTTGTTTATCTATTCACAGGAAACTGATTCCTAATCTTGTCCTATTTTACATTCTTCTGGCAGCTACCTGTTCTTTTGTGTGTATATGATACGACCATGTTTGTGCGTGCATACACACACGTACAACATTCTTTTGATATCTTTAAGACTAATGTTTCCTTTTTGAGATATTATCCCTCTATGTTTGCTTATCGAGAGAGTTTTGTATGTATCTGTGTATGTTTGTAATCGTTCCATCTCAATTACCCTTTACATTTTATACTTTTTTCAATATAGTAATAGTAACAATTTTTTGTAAAAGATGTTTCCATCTACTTTTTTATACCCAAACGTATATATATGTTTAGTTATTAAGAAGAGTGCTTGATGCACTGTATAGGCTTTTCCTATTTCAAAATAAAAATTTCTTCTAATTATTTATTCGCATTTGTTCTTGTCCATAGTTTTATGCTGTGATTGTTTTTGCCTCATGTTCTTACTGTTGTCATGTACGCTGTTGTTGTTTAATGATGATGATTTAACTTCCCTAACTTAGTAGTAGTCCTGTTTTCACTTACCTTCTAAATATTTTTCTACGAAATACCATGTACTCACTAGTGACCAGCTTTAAAGGAAGCTCTATTGAGAAGCCGTGACTTAATGTAGTTCGACCATGTTGAATGTGAAAAGGTTACCCACCGACGACAGTGATAGATAGTCATGCAGTATCGCAGATTACTTGGAGTCATATTTATACACCGTCACTGTGCTAGAGATCTCGCTTTCTTGTACGAAACCGAATGTCTTGGTTCTGATCCCTGGCTGCGGGGTCGTGGGTGCACACTGATGAATTCCATACTAGAACTAAACGGTAGTCTAATACCACCAAGTTTTCAGTGATTGTCTAACACAGATCTATTCATAATGTCGATATAATAGTTGGGGTTTTCGAACAACTAACACTTCCATCTTTTGTGTCAGTTGCATTAAACAAACAATCTGCTCGTTGTAGATAAAAATGGACAATCTAGTGTTTTTGTATCATGATAGCTGAATAGATATATTTCAATCAATCGCAGATTTTGTGAAAGTACTTTAGTCCAAGCTAAGTTGAGTAAACTAAATAATTAAAATGTCAGTGATGAGAAGAATTTTACCCATTATCTTTCAATAGTACTTGAATGAATGAAATAAAGTTACTTGTGTTTTTTTTAATTCTAAGAATTTCTGTAAACTATGTCTTATCAACTGCTTGTCTATTGATGCATATGCAGAAGACTATTTTCTGAGAACTTTTAACGTAGTCTATTAAATATTAGGGCATTACTTCGAAATTTTAATGTTTTGTCGAATAGCACTTGTTGAAGTGAAAAATGTCATTTTAAAAGACATCAACTTGACTATAGACCACTAGATTTGAGAATCATTCCTAAATACTGTCGATTATAAATGAATTGTATTACGAACTCATTACTCTCGATCGTTGTGTATTCTACTGCTTCACTCTTATATATGGATACCCTATTTCATAGAACTAGTTACGTTAACGTTGATTATACAGCTGGTACACTTAATCCTTTAAATCCATTCCCTCGTTTTATAGTTTGATATGATATTCACAGTTACCTTCCCATTCTGTATGTTGTGCGATTGTACATTAGAAAAATAAACTCAAAGCTGTATCCCTTCATAAATAAAGTTCTTGTTTAACTACTGATATTTTTTGCTGTTGTGTTCCAGTTTCTGAGATAAATATGACTAATCCAATGAACGATGAATCTATTTGGGATTCTGGTGAAGATGAGTCCGTAATAGATCCTGAGGTTCCCATTGGTATGTGTAGTTCCTACAGCTTAGATTTCAGCAGTGTGTCATTTAGTTTTATTTTCGTTTACCCAAGCCATTGGTTGTTTTTACACATTTGATTGTAAAAACGGTATTTATTTCTTATTCCTCTCACCTTAAGCTCGATACAGAATTCCGAAGTTATCATTATGTCCAAGCATAGGTACATATGAATTAAGAATATAGTGTAGTTTTTGTTAGGCGATTTCAATTTTCCGGGCACTTCGACGAATCCCTTATTATTGTGTATAAAGTTTTATATTTATTGCTTATGGTTTGATGTCTTGTTGAAAAAGTAAGGTGTGATATACCACATATTTTGACTTGATTACCGAAACAAGTATCTGTTCTCAGAATCTGTCCTACCCACTATTTATTTAGCCGTAATATCAACTCGGTTCGATCTAGTTCTATCCATTTTGTAGAAACTCATTGTTGGTATTTTAAAAATGAGCTATCTGGATGACCTTTTCCGTTATGTTGGCGGATGCAGACTACCTGGTTTAAATCCGCACACTAGATGTGATGAGTTGTTGAAAACGTATGATTTCACTCAATATCAGTCCCTGTGGCATTCACTTTTTACCTCCCATTAGATTCTTCAGTTCCAGTATATTCTTTCATACATACCCTTTCATCCTGTTTTTTCCAACTATACTTTCAATGCTCAATTTTTCTCATTTTCATTTTTAGTACGATTATTTTGATCTCTTAAAATTCATCAAACCGTATCAATGCAGTATGACTACATATTTGTGTCAGACTGTACGTTGATTATGAATAAGTTTTAAAAAGAAAACACTAATTCTCGAAATTGGCAACAAATATGTAGGCGTCTGTGCCATCGGTAAGGAATTGAAATAAACATTAACTTTACTCTCAGTTTTTAACTAAATATGGGCGTAAATCTTCAGAGGACAGTTTTCGTTTTGTTAGCGATAAAGATTTGTTGATTACTGAAACTGCTCTTCTGTTAAACTCCGGAACGTGATTATTTAAGGTTATTTAGCATAGCATCAGTGAGATCTCATATAGCTTAACTGGATAGGTATCTTTTCTAAATTCTCTGTCAATGTCAAAAGTTAGAGTGCACGTATTCATATATTATTGTATTGTCCGATATCTCATTGGATAACAGCTCCCAGAAACCAAACGTTTAACAACTCAAAACTTTAAACTCCACAAAACTCAGACAAATCACTGAAAGAGTTTGAAATTAAGTAATAATTGCATGTTATGGCGCCTCGATAGGATGTTCTAACTGTACCCCACTTTCTTGATCCGGTTTTCAGTATAGTTTGGCTGAATCGTCTTCTTAAGCTCCCTTTCTAAGCTGGTTACTTGGTGAACGGAATATTTCTAGTTCTCTGACAAAATCACATTTATTTTAGTTTGACGCACACTACTTTCTTGTTTGTACCTAGGAGTTATTAGATCCATACCTAGTTGAACTTTTATCTGTTCAATATTTGTTTACAACTCTCTCTTAATTCAACTTGGCATCTAACTGACGAATTGGTTCAAGATGAAGTAAACAAATCTGGACATGTGTAATATTCTCATAGGTTTTAACATGCCTCTATTCGAAAGGTCATATAAAAAGAAGAGTATATTAGAACGAACATAAATAGAAAGAAATTGTAGTAATAAGGTATTCATTTATCCACACAACTGTGTTAAGTTTGGTCTAGAACCACTGATATCTAGCTTTTTAATTGTTCTCTTTCTAAAGCTTGTTTATAGAAATTTATCGGACTTTTTTATAAAAGTTTGTTTCGAAAGTTTTCCCATATCCGTATGAGGATTGTAGAGATTGTTGAGTTTTAGATGGTGGTTGGAGGTAGTCAACAGGAAACCCTGGACCCGGGTTTCGTGCTACTTGGCACTCGTCAGCAAGGTGTACCTGTAATCTTGAGGGAACTGGTGCTCCCTGGCGGATCCGATCTCGTGTCACCCAACTTCACAGTCAGAGACGTTACCACGGGTCCAGGGTTTCCTGTTGACTACCTCCAACCACCATCTAAATATCAATACATAGTGCCCGCAGTGTCGAGTCACCTAGACTGGTGTCCACATTGCAACATGATCGATAGCGTTCTATCTGCACTAATAAGGACTAGACAGGCATGACATTGATCACCACCCAGTGATCAATCAATTGTGATTGTTGAGTTTTATTAGGATCACGAACTGATCGAAATTGGATAATCATTGAAAAACTAGAAGCACTGAGCGGCGGTTTCGTCCTAGTATGGGACCCACCAGTGCACAATCAGGACCTTCGGTTTCTCGAAATAGTAACCTCTAGACCAGTGATTCGGAGTTCAATGATGTACTAACCTGACTCCAATCAATCTGTGATACTGAGAAACTATCTTTTACTGTGTTCGGTGGATAACTTCCTCATATTCAAAACGATGTGTTTGTTTGGTATGTACAATACATGATTTTTATAAAAATTATGTGGTCAGACTATTGTTTGGACTACGTAATCGAGTTTTAAGTCCTTAAAAATTATTCACCAATATTTATTGCTCCTCTTGAAGCACTTTCATATTCTCTTTTAGAAAAGTCCTGCTCAACGCCTTCGAACAATAAGGTGTTCTTAAAAATGTGAAAAGCTGAACAACTGTACTCTTTTATCTAGCAGCGGTAATATCAGCTACACAGTAGAACAGTATTAATGACTTCATTGTTTACTTGGCTCTGATCATATTTATTTTCGTTCTGTTTTCGTGGACTGATGCCACGTTTCGGTATAGGTGCTGATATTTTTCTTACAAAGTACTTCTACACGACGCTTAATGAGGTAGGCGGTAGTTCTGTGTGCATAACACATGTCTTAACTACTCCATTTAACGAAAACTCACACCGAGTAACATGTAGCGACCAAATAAAGGTCCACTAGTATTAATTTCCCGACTCCAGTTAATTTATGGTTCACCACTTCAACTAGATAATCGGTTGAAAACCGGAGTTCTTTGAAAAGCTGCTTAGTTTTAATATACGGGATTCCTGAACAATACTCATAGTTCCGCCGTAATTTGAAAGGTGAGACCATAATTTATGGACGAACCAATCAGACTTAGGGTAACAGGTCTGGGGTTTTGGCGCGAAATTCCTTCATCCATTTAGCTTAATAACGTTTCGGCATTTTGGCTGATGTCAGTTCATGATGAAAACCCTAAATCCAATTTCCAACCCTAATCGTCAACTGTAAATCATAATTCTAATTTCTCATACTGGTTTATATCGCCCATTTAGTCCTAGTTATTAGGTGGACGCTCTTAAGGTCAGTTTAGCGTCAGTCAGAAATCGTCCATAAATTATAGTCAAACCATTTGAATTCACAGCATTTAGGCTTCACAGTCAGTTCAGTTCACTCATTTCTCATCTAGTGCTTTACATTAATAGCTTCAGTCGATGCTTGATTACCGTTGGCAACATCTTTGTTACTTCACCTACTACGGCTTCCATACTAAGACTTCGCGAATTATTCACAAAAACGGTCACTAGTCGGGATATGTACACTTACATCTACACAAATCTCCACCCTACTGATATTTCTTATTAAGATGTCAGATTTGTGAATCTCTTCACTTAAATTTAGTTGAAGCCCTAGAACAAACACGAAAATTTTTCATAGCTCTTACTAATTTACTTTACTTATACAACAGGTTAAATTTTGTTCTGCTCTTATCAAGAGATCAGGATGTTGTTCATTAGTCCACTTTGTCTCGCTTAGTGGTTGTGAAACAAAATTTTTAACGGTTACATGCATGTATATAGGTTGTTATTCAATCACAGATGACTTGAAAACATTATTTGCTTATTTTCAAGTTACTAAATTTGTGTAATTCTGTGTTAAGATGTAGAATACTGGATAAATACATATAGATTGGTTGATGAACCCTGTGGAAGTTTATCAACTAAGGCTGTTAGAACACGCCTTAGATGTACTTTTATACCTTTGTATGATGTATTAATTAACGTAGGTAGGGATTTGTAAAAGATCTTGGGATCCAATGTAGCAGATGTTCAGTAAGACATTGAATGCTTGTTTGAACAGTATAAAACAATTTGAATGTTTTTGATTATGTTAAATAATTAGGACAATATTGAACAATATTTCCTGGTTTCATAGTTGTACTATCATCTGAAATTTCGGAGAAAAATACTTTTAGAGGAAATTTATCCGGAAGGTAGAATTTTTCTCAGACCTGCGGCAAGTACTACTTAAAAGTCCAATTTCTGGGAAATCTCCCCAAATTTATATACTTGCATTACTTTTTTCACTTCTGTGTTTCCCACCTTGTTGCTGCATTATTTCGCTATACCAACCGACAATAGAATGTAACAGCTTGAAATAATACATATTTTTGTCATCTCATATGTTGTTTACGTGCATCTGTTAACCTGCTAGTTCATTGTTACTACTTATTTAAGTTATATTCCTTGAGAATTTTTTCTCCTGAGAGTTTACTTGACTTGTGAATATTTTCTAGACAGGGTTACTTTTAGTTTTTGTACATCCATCAAAATATCATTCGGTCACTAGTGCAAGTGTTTGCTTGATCATCATGATGTTTCTTTCATCTAACTTTCCATAACACATGTTATAATGACCACTTATTCATACTCTATTTTCAAGCTATATCTCTCAATTTAAGTTCATGAGTTTTATCAGTTGCCTCTTCCACCCAAACGTAGTTGGTGAAGCTGGTAGGCTATTTTGAACAAGATTGTATCAGTTAATATTTCTTTCACCTTAGTACTTCTGAAAAGTGTTCGATGTTTCAAATATATGTCGTTAATTATTATACCTATCACGTGTATACATTATTTATTGTCTACAATTATGTTTCACATTTATGAAATAAAAGAGATTGTACTGCTAAGTACTGACATCAGACATATATTCAAATATCTCTCAAATGTCATCATTTATATTAATCTGTTACAAGTTAAACAAATCTTATATATTACCTCTGAGATTTTTTCATTCGTTACACTATTAAAGCTGATTTGTTTCATTGAAATGAGTGTAACCAAATAAACTGTATTACTAATTATTTGACAAGTGGGCAATGCGTTTCAAACTTTTTCACATATAACGTTTGCAGAAGTCGATATATCTTACTCCCGTAATTTACAACTTAGTCCAAAGCAACAGTTTGAAAAACGTTACACTTATGTTCGATGCACTTTTCTAGACTAAAGTTTTGCCTTTGACTTTTTCCCAAGAAATCTACCATGAAACAGGTTTCCTAGTCTAAATACTGAGAAATTAATGATTAACTGGGTGTGTTTTTATTTTAACTACAAGAGAACTGTATACAATATATGAAGTGAAGTATTCCACTCATCTATTTATCACATTTGGTGCACCTTAAAGTGCTGTTGTTCTACCTTTCCTTGTCTTTGTTTTCTTTCATGATTTACCGTTTTCTAACAAAAAAACTTTTGTTCAGTATAGGAACGATTTTACTGTATCCACATTAGTTTCTCGTAGTTCTCACCGCCTAAAAAAATGAATGGTTTTTTTGTGAACATTGAACGATGGTATATTTTAAATGGTCCTACAATTAATGCCTTTAAATCTCGAAGAGCTTTTTTAATGTTAGATGGTCGAGAGTAGTCTAGGGAAAACCCTGAATATGGTCTTCGTATCATTTGAAACTTATCACCAAGATGTGCTGACAATCTTAGTTGACTAATATTTCCTGAGTAATTCGACCTCTCATCACCCAGCTTCATGCTCTGAGGTATTCTAGTGGTGATTTATCTCTTGTAGAACTGAAGTTTTCGCATTATTTGGTCACTAGCGAGTGACTAATGTCATGTTTTTGTAGTTTATAGTGTCGATCGAATTCTGTTCAACAAGCCGCATTATAGCTACTAGTCTACGTGGTTGTACATCATGTACTCTATGTTTCGATGTGAAGTAGTTGGAGTTTACTAATTAGCAACTTGACGTCTTGTACTATGAAGCCGGTTGAGAAAGGATCGAATATCGGATGGAGCATCAACAAAAATAACAAACTTCTTTCTGATGCTTGTGATAATAATTTTTTCAAGGAAAACAGCAAAGGCCTCATGATTAAATCACTCAGTTCGGAGAATGTAATCTCGACTGATTTCTCCATTAATACGAACTCGGTGTGAAATCTTAAACTCTATTTTATATACTGTTACTTATAAGCCATACATAAGTTGTGTACATTCATATGAGTAATGAACGCGTATTGGTTATTCTATACTTATCACACGTGAATTTCTGTTCTAAACTAGTAAATAAAATCAATCAGAAAACTCTCTGTAATCTCTGTCCCCTACTCACTCACTATCTACATGGCATCGTAATCATTTTAATAATCCTACAACATCATATTTCAAACATTATTTTAGTTCCAGTGTAGGGCTGTGAGAATGTTGAATTTTATTGCAATCGTGAACCTATCTAAGCTAAACAAATACTGAAGCATCGGATGGCTGTTTTTTTCCAGTATGGGACTCAGTAGAGTGCATCTACAAGCTTGCGAACAGGGATCGTACCCAGGGCCTTCGAACCCATGCCCGAATACTTAGACTCTAGACCAGTGATATAGGATCCAATGATATGATAGTCTAAATCCAGTCAACCCACAATATTTCACTACCTTCTTTCGTTGTCTTAGGTAGGCTACTTCACACTCCTGATGTGATTGAACTCTACCGGTCACATCTTTCCACTAGAAGCCGTGAACTTCCTTTCGAAGATAATCACTAGTGAGCACATTTTATTAATTTGTTAATACCTATTGATATTTTCTTTCTTTACATATTGTCAAATACGTGCACACACACACTAACAATGTCTTCTATCAAACGTAATTCATTTGCACAATTATTTCATCAGAGTTAATCATATGACAGTGTCTTAGTTCATAACAGTAATAATACAATTAAATTTAAGATTTATACAAAATTACACTTCTTATTCTCAATATTACAATCACCAACGTCATCATGAATAGCAGGTAATTAAGTGATTAATTAGTCGACAGAGAATGACACAATGACATCCAACTACTCCTTGGAACTCTTGCCTAAGTAAACTAGTTGTGTAAGTGTTCTGTGTATTACTTGGAAAATTCCGCTGAAAAGAATAAATTACTGTTTGATTATTTTTATGAAAAAAAGACATTGTTTATTTACTCTAGTTCATCTGAACTGAATTTTCAGACTATTTTTAATCATTTTAAATTTACAATGAATTGATCTCTGAATAGTGACCATTATTATGTATATGAAGTGCCTCTTAGCACTAATCTAATTCTGTCGATCAAATTACTAATCAGTGATTGATCAATTGCAAACACATCTGTTCTACAGGAGGTTAGTTGCTACTCAGATAGCTCCGTAACAACATATCTAACTGTGAAACTAGGTAACACCGCATCCAATCCTTAAGGGAGCATAAGTTCCCTCAAGTTTATTGGTACATCTTGCTGACGAGTACCAAATAGCATAAAAAGTAGATCCCTAAATCATTTTGTATACACAGAATCAAAATGTTACTGAACTATTATTGAGAGCTCGTAACTGGTGGAGTTCTGATATATCGTGAATGAAACAATAATCAAAGGGACTAAATGTTCGCTGCACGGTATCCCAAATTGATCAGAGCTAAAATTTTACCAGTCCAGTGCTTTTAACGGCTATACGTCCTGTGCGAGTCGTCTAGATCATGGTTTCGATATCTTGGATGTTGTGAACGCTCACGACTGAAGAGTCCCATGTTTGAACGAAACAACTGCCTGGTGCTCCCTTTTTTTCAATGGTTCCCCAACGAAGCTCAATATGTGATGAATACAGTCTACATAATTATTAAGAGTAAAAATTTTCTTGTCACGTCACTGTTGTTACACTGAAGTCAACTAGTGTGTATGTATTTACTCTGTCCTCTTAGTTATAACAACTTTGAAATTGTTATTTAGTTGAATTAAATTACTTGCAAATTTACTAAATTTGAGGTAGTGAATCATTCGATGTCATTTCAGGTGGTCTGAAAGTGATACACTTTGGAGCGTGATGGATCCCTACTGAGAAGTCCTATACTCAATAGTCACTCGTTCATAAACAAGTTACAACCTCACATATGTCTACACTGACTCAAGTTCACATAGCATATCACTACAAAGAGATGAAATTATCAAACTGAGTACCAAATTAGCAGTATCTACCAATCTATGTGGAAAGGTCAACTAAACAGTTAGGGTAACCGAAAGTGGCTAGTTAGAAATCCTTATTTATGTCCTATTGAGTAGTGATGTAGAAATTAATTCATTTCAAACTTTAATGATAAACTAACTTTATGGTGTTACCATTTTTTAAAATATTCCCGTCTTAGTAAGCCACAAGTACTTCTAAGAAGGCGGTTTGTAGCTCAAGTTGATACTTTTGGTTATTTTATGTTCACTGAGCCAGCGACACGAATTTGGTTGGAAAAACGTCAGAAATATGAACAGAAAAAATTTAAAGAATCCTAGAGAATTTATGAAAGTATCAACTAATAGGCATATTGACGTAGACCCTACTTACCAAAGGTCAACCAACCACGAGATTAGGGAGCGACCAAACGAGATAGTTAACAGAAATGCAAAAGTGAGTGAAGCTATGAAAACCTCTGAGGACAATCATTCACCGAAACTGATTATTGATTTAGAGTTCATATATTAATGTAATAACTCACACTGATATAAGCCCTGATGATGTTATCTAGAATGACAATAGAAGCTTTGCAATTATTCTGCCAAACTAAAAAGACACAATACGATCGATCCCACACTAGGACGAAATGGCCGTCCAGTGCTTCCATGGTGGTCTAACTTCAACTATTGAAATTACTATTCAATCTCCACAGACCTTCTTTATTTCACAATTCAAATTCTTAAATTTAAGAAAATATCAACTTTTAATTATTGGATACATTCATATTCTAATTTCTTTATAATTAAATAACATATCTACATGTTGTAACCAAGTCACACCTACATTTTACGTGAGGAAAACATTAATTGTATTTTGTAAAAAAAGAAAAGTGTTTATTTAATTCATATATTTATGTGTGTGCGTGTGTGTGTGTGTGTATTTCATGCCTGATTTAAAAGAAAAAAAAACAAAAAAATATTTACAAATTTTATTATTTTCTATAGAGAAATCTTTTCTGTTAGTAACATGTTCTGTTCTGTTAAAAATAATGGTAATAATATTCATGAATGTTGATGAATCACATAATGAATATGTTATCAATGGGTACATGTTATTGTTCATTGATGTATGAATGAATCAATGAATTTGTAGTTAATAAGCCATTAATATACCGGTATTAAAAGTATATTCATTATTAAATTCACTTGGTGTTTTTTTTACTTGTATCTTCCAATTGTTATTTAAGACTGCAATTGATCAGTCTCATGTTGGCATATGTGCATCCTGTACGGATTGCTTCGACATAGCCTTAAGCCACAAGCTTTTTAAACGTAGATGAATAGTGGCTAGCAGTGGAATCCAAGTGGCGTGTTTCGTCCTATTTGGGACTCGTCAGCTGGATGTACCTACATCCCAGAGTTGATGTTCACTCCGGGACTCGAATATTCATTATTACTGTAGAAGAAATGAGACTATCTTTTCTATTTGATGTCTAGTAAAAATTGTTCAAGTTAGTTTATGTTAAATGATTCTGGTATACTTATTCTGTCTGTGATTAGCAGTGAAGTCTAAACTGCCTGTTTCATTCTATTTAGGACTTATCCATAGTTGATTGTATCCGCATCTGAATATTTATGTGCATATTGAGACTTGTAGTTAGTTGAATTCACTTCAAATATTCAACGTATTATTCACTAAACTATTGAATCTTTGTAACCACAAACTTGTTTAGTCATATGAGTAAAACATTGTGATAGAGTAGCTATTTCGACGCAACCCATTCCAGATGTGCATATAGCAACAGAGACTGATCAGTTACAATCCTGAATATCACGAATGCTGAACTAGAGAATTCTCACTGATTATTAAAGAGAGTTGGATGTTGGCTAGTAGTGAAATTCTGAACGCACGTTTTTTTCTTATTTGGAACTCGTCTTCTGGATTTACCTACATTCGTGTTAATATTCCCTTCAGTACTTGAACCCAATGTCTTCTGCTTTGAACACTAACGCGTTATCCATTTAGCTACTGAATCCAGGTTCTACTTAGAAATAATTATGACTGATGTAAATATTGAGGCAATCCATTCAGGATGCATACGTACCAAAAGATACTGATCAATTGCGGTCCTTAACACTAACAATCGAAAGATTCAAACCCTTACAACTGAATTTCCCTCAGTAATCATTTTTAATGTGTATGTGATTTTTATCATGGATCAACCTCAGTTAAAAATGTTATTATGAATCAAATGGTATTAGACAGTTGTTTTCATTTCAATATATAACGTTTTAACAATGAATCACCAGAATTTTATCAGGAATCGGACTCAGGCTCATTAAATCCTAAATAATACACTGTTGGAGTCTTCGAGCTCATTTTTATAACGTAAGAATTATCCTTTCCCATTTGTTATAAAAATTTTACTCGGAACTTACATCAACTAATGACTGAAATCTTTAATACTGGATAATTTACATAACCTTTTCAACGAAACTATAAAACGATATACATGTTAATGAATATTATTGAGATAGGTTCCTGATTAATCAATGAGTTGTAACCGATTCAATTCTTTCATTTTGGAAGTGAGACGTTACTTACTTGTGCCACTGACTGATCATCATATTATATTGCCAATAAATTCATGTCTAAAATAGGAATCACTGTATTTTAACTATGTGCTAAAATTAACCCGTTTTTCGAGAAACTTGATGATCCTAGGTTTATGATAAAGTGTGGAATCGTTGGCGCGTACTACCACTGTGGACTCCTATACCAGGAATAAAACACATTGAATATTGTTTGATATTAATAGTATCTCCATCGATAACAAGCTAACGAAATATTCTGAGAGTTATTAGCTCACAATTCAGTCTTTCTGTTCATATGTACTGTCAAATAAGATGAAATATTTATCATAAACTGACTGCGTAAAGCCAATATACACATTTTCGAGATCTGTCCTACTACAAATACTTGGCTCATACAGCCAAACTTATTTTTTATGATGACAGCTTTGAAGAGGGACTAAAATGTATTCATGATTTATTAAGTAAATATGGATACCCATCAAAGTTCCTAACGAAATATATGTTTGGAACTAAACCTAAATCACTGACGATACTAAAAAAGTCTTCATTCCTGAAATTATAGTTCAAAAGTGAAATATCTAGCAAAATAGTAGTTCAATGTATTAGAAAAGCTGTAGAGCGTACATTCTCTGTTCAACCTGCCATCAACGAGTTCACGAAATAAAGATAAATTCTTTAATTTCTTTGCCTTCATATATATTTGGCATTTCAAACCCTCTTGTGAAGCTACTTGTATTGTGTGTACAACTAAATAAATGCATCATCATACCTCACGGTTGACCAAAGGACAAAAGAAAGTAATGAGAAACTCGATCTTGTCTCATTTAGTTATTATCAATCATCAAGTCGAGAAAAAACATTTGACTTCTTAACTTATCGATAAGATCCCACTGAACTTACCTATGGTTCCACATTTCAATAAACCTAACTTCTATCTAAAGAAGACATTTCTACAGCCCCTTAATTGAATTAACCCACTAT